AATTTTTAGTTCCCGGTCCAATTGAGATACAATCATCACCAGTAGCAATTGATGAACTCAATATTGTAACATCAGTTGACGATTATATGTGAATGCCATCAGTATTTGGGCTATGACCTGAAGCAGAAATCGTAACCCCTTGCACTTTCACGTTTCGACAACCATCGATAACAATATGATACAATTGACTATCGAGTGAAGTTATACCATTTATTTCAATGTTTTGGGAATTTAGAAAACCTAAATTCTGCAATTTAATAAAAAAAATGTTAATTATATTTATTTTTTTGAGGAAAAAAAAAAGTTAATTAAGAATTAAACACATATATTTCATTATTTTTGAAATTTAGGAAATTTAGAAACTTAAATTGTTAAATCTTAAATACGAATATATTCAATTGTCAATCAATAATAAATATATTAAAATGATTATATAATATATATTAAATTTTACTCTATCAAATAACTTAATTGGTGTAGCCATACCATTGAGATCAAATAACATATACAGTTTCCTCAATGTAAAACTTACCATCTAACAATAAATAAATGTAGATACTAGTTAAATTAGAGCATTGATTTATCATATTATGTCTAGATGCAAATATAACTAATATATGCATGCCAATATATAAATCGCATATATATTAAATTTTACTCATAGAAAATAAATAACTTATTTTGACACCACAAGGGCATGCTCCTTTTCTATATCGTTTACAATTCCATAGTTTAGCTCCTGCACCGTCAAACACTCCACCAGAAAGCGTAACACCATTGACGTGATCAAATAACACCCATGTTTTTGAATTTTGAAGCACCAGAAAATCACTAGGGGCTACTATGGTACTGTTTACAACAAAATTAATCTTACTACTTTGGCATCTCTTTCCCGAAAAGGTAAGGGATGTTCGAAGAAAGAATTCTCCTTCAGGAATATGAATTGTAGACTCGCCTGATGAATCACAAGCTAAATTCCAAGCCGCCTTCAACGCCTTGGAAGAGTCGGAGTTTGAGTCGGGTTTAGCCCCGAGTGACACTACGTTATAGTGGTTGTAGGTTGCGGGCTAACAGAGTTTAGGTTTAGGATCACCAAAATTATTGACAATGTTGCAATTACGGTTTTCATAGTTTTATTATGTAACAAAAAGCGACTATAGTTATTAAGAGAAAGAATACGTGAAATTGTGGCGGGACTGTTTAATTTTTAAGAGAAAGAATACATGAAATTTTGGTGTTTGAATCTTTAATTTATAAATATTGGTACAACTCCAACCCCAATATATGGGTGAAAAAATTGCACCAAGTTATTGGTAGACTTTGCTTTAGTAAACGCCTCATCACTTCATAGTCTAGATATATAGAAGTGGTAAGAAATCTACCTTAATTACTTGACTTCCACCTTTTTTTTGTTGGATTTTTACCAATTCGTCCAATCGGATTTGTAGTCATTGCTTTATTGGCCGACATTACTAATGATTTTAGCATTTAATTGTGGACAAAGAGATACTACTTGATGAAATCTGTAGAGTATAAAATTTGTAGTTGTAAAACCTTATTTTCTGATATACTCCCTCATACTCATAATATCTAAGACGTTGAATTTTTTTCACTATTTATATATTAAATTTGATCATAATTTTTTACTAAAACATACGGAGTATTTTATTATAAGATATGTTGTTAGATAGATATTAATATAAAGTTTCATTATATAGTTTTATAAACTAATTTTCTTTAATATTTAATTATCATACATATATAATAACTAATATATAAAGCTAAACTTTTAGCTAGGTTACGAGACAATTACACTTGGCGTTTCAACTTTTTGCCAAGTGTCGCGCCATGTAGGCGACATATAAGATTTAGTACGATACATCTGACTCCTAGATAAGTAAATTAAAGATAGATTATTTAGGATAAATAAGTTGAATTTAAAATAAAATAGACTAGATGAATCCTGATGAACGGTTTGTTTGAATTTTTTAAAATAATTTTTTTTTATACATATATTTATGTGCTAAAATTTGTTATATGTTTAGATAAAATTCCTAATATCAAAAGATAATATTTTATATTTAATTAATTTAAATTGGAAAATCTTATTCGCCAATTTTGCTTATGTGGCATTTGAATTATTTAATTATAAAAGATTTTAATAATCTCCTATTTAATTGGTTACTACTAAAATTTATAATCCTACATGGCACACTAAGAAAATTAGATCTTATGTGGCCGCAATTTCTACCCTACTCCTGGAGTACTGTGAGCATGATACTCCAGGGGTCAAACGATGTCGTTCTATTATCTATCCCTACCTTCTTCTTTGTTTTCCCCTTTTTCTTCTTGCTATACTTTGTTTCCTGTATTTTTTTTTCAATTTCAGTGAATTTCTTCATCCCTGTTTTCCTCTTTTTCTTCCAGCTATTCTTTTTTTCCTCTATTTTCTTTCAATTTTTGTGAATTCAATCAATTTTTTTCTTTCAATTGCAATTTTTGAAAAATAAAAATAACACTAATTTAAAATAGAATAACAGAAGATATGGTTTATTTGAATATCACATGTTTAGAACAAAATAACAATAGACTTTAAATAGAATAACATCAATTTGTGTACAAAGTAACTCAAAGTTTAACCTAAAATAACACATAACTTGATAACTGAATAACTTAAACTTCTATTGAAAATAACATAAGATATTAAACAAAATAACAACTTAACTCAAAGGTTAAGTAGAATAATAAAGGATACATTAAAATAACAAAACAACACAAATTTAGGATTTCATTAAGATAACACATAATAAAAATAAAATAACATTAGGCTTAAAACAAAATATCATCATTTATGAAACAAATTAAAAAAATGGTGTTTTAGAAAAACGTTAAATAATTCTGCCAAAACAAATCTACTTTCAAAAACTAAAACAACACATGATGATCAACCCAAAATAACATTAGATTTTAAGTAGAATAACATTAGATATTAAGCAAAATAACATCATTTAAAGAATAATATTAACAAATTAAAACACATTTTAGAAATATAGATCTGACTTCACAATCAAAATAACATAATATGCAATGCTGAATAACATAAGCCTAGAAACAAAATTGATCAAAATAATAAGAACTTATCTATAATTTTTGTTTTCAAATATGCAATTTCATCTAGTTTTTCAATATCATTTAATTGGTTTACCCTACTTGCTTGTTTTAATTGCAAATTTCATGTTATAAATGTACAATTGCAAAATAATTTATAGATAAAATTAAACAAATACTTACTTCCCTTGATATGCATTTCGCTAATTTATGTTGTTTTTGGACATGATCTTGAAGTTGGACAAGAAATTTGCAGGAGTAGTTCAAATGGATAGAGAAAGTGAAAGTAGTGGAGTAGAAATGAAATGATTTAATTTTTTTCATCTACCTTTCTTTTATATATGGAGTTAGTTTCATGTTATTTGCTTTTCCTAAGTTGCTATTTTGTCTAATTAGCCTTGCATGCTTTAATTTCGTTTATTGGGTTTTAATCCCATATATTAGATTGGGCTGGGCCCTGGAGTACAATACTAGGTACTCCAGGAGTACCTAATACTAATTGCTCTCTAAAAACTCGGGAAAAAACTCCCCTTTATATATATATATTAGATTGTAAATTTTGAAAATATCTTATAGACATGTTATTTTTATATCATAAAATTCGTTTTAAATACTATATTAATGTTTTAGCTTAGGTAAGATAAAAAATACTTGTCAATTTAACTTTTCGCCAAATATCGCACTATATAGCCGAAATAAAAGTATAATTGTTTTGATATGTAGGATTTATTTGAATATTTTTTTTAAAGTTGCATATATTTAGATAGATTTTTTTGGATAAAAAAGTCACGTACTTTAGAGCTTTATTTTCAATAAAATTTGGTTAATTTTTAGGATAGATTTTTAATTTCGATAAAAAAATCAATATACCAATATACAATTTAAATTATAATTTTATTCAGACTAAATATATAAGTACTTCAAAATAAATCTATGTATGATAGATATTTTATTAATTAACATAAAATATAATTTACTCATTTATTAATCAAGTCACGCAATATAACATAACTGCGGTATGATTAGCCAGGGCACAAGCTTAGGCATTCCAACTTTTCACAAATATCGTGTCACATAAGTAACAACGACTAATCATTATATAGACACGTATAATTTTTTTGGATAGATTTAAAATTGCAATGAAGATCTAAAAAATTATGTTGTAGTTTTAAAATTTTGCATATAGATTTAAAAAAAATTATCCTAAAATTTACTCCGTAATAAACAAACAGGGCATTGCACAGGGCACAAAACTAGTACCCCCTCTGTCCCAGTATACTTGCAACATTTTGACTGGACGCGTTTGTCGATGCACATATTTGACCGTTGATATCTTTTATTATATATTTGTATAAGTTATAAAAATTTTATATTAAGAAACTATACATTAAAATAAACCCAACAACATCTTACATGATTACATTGACTTTTATATAATAGTTAAAAAAGATGGTCAAAGGGAGATATGTGAATAGTGCAAAAAGTCAAACCGTTGCGAGTAATTTGGAACGGAGGGAGTATAAAAATAAAGTCATCAACCTAGTGCATTGGCATGTACTGTGTACAACGTTGATTGTGTCATATGTTTTGGGACAGAGAGAGTACATATAGATATATATTTATATAGTATAAAATATATTCGTGTGATTCAACCATCAAGTTAAGTTTTTTATTTTGTTGCGATAAACCTATAATTAATATGGTATCGGAGCCAGCGTGACACAAAGGTTACGGATTCAAATCTCATTCATCTCTCACCTTCAAATGGATTATTGTGCGCTGGGTATAAGGAGGGTCCATGTTGCATCCACACTTAAAGCCCAAAGCGAGGGGTGTGATATAATATATAAATCGATCATGGGGTTCGACCATGGTTAAGGTCTAGAAAAATATTTTATACTCAATTATATATTATCAACACAAAAGTGATAAATTGAGTTATTTATCGAACCTAGTAAAAATAATTACAAGCTCTTTGGTATTAGGCTATACCATTTTTATTAATATGCATACATAAGAATAACTTTATACATAGGCAGTTGATTGATTAATTTATTACAACTTATAAGAAAAACTTTATACATAGGAAGTTGATTAATTTATTGCAACTTATAGCATTGTGCTCCAATTGATGCATCAAGTGTAAGCTCCATACCAAACTTATTCTTTATACTAAGCCAATAACAATCATCAAACAAGCATTTACGTTCATCAGTTGGTTGGGCCACATCTACTGGGCTCAGAAACTTGGGCCCCCATGCTGGAGTTCCATCCTCAAATGAATTATGGGTCAGCCTCCGAACATTCGACCCATCCACATTTGCAATGAAGATCTCCCCATAAGGCTGGTAATGATGTGGGTTTGATATGGGCTCAGCTGATACGGCAGCATAATCTGAAGTAAACACAATGCTCTTCCCATCTGGGCTAAACCATGGGTGATTCGCACGACCGCCCGATCCACTTTGGATCACCTTATGGAGCCCTGTTCCATTCGGGTGGATCATGAATATTTCGAAGCTTCCACTACCCGGATTCTCACGATCGGTTGCAAACGCGATCCATTCCCCATCGGGTGACCAATTGCACATGGTGTCGGTCCATGGACCCTCTGTTAGCCTATGGATACCACCTGTCTCACCTTCCTCGGCGTCCATTATGTAAAGATTCTTATAACCCGATCTGCCTGACCTAAACACGATCCATTTACCATCAGGTGATGGTGATGGGAATGCATTATTTTCACCTCCATGGGTTAGCTTTTTATAGCTCAAATCATCATTATCCACGTTGATTGCAATTATATCAACTTTAGTCCTTTCAGATGCAAAATTTGGACCAACACTAGTATAAACCACACCTTTTCTTATCGGGTCCCAAGCAGTTGTAAAAGCCATTCCTTTATGAACCAACTTCTTATTCGACCCATCATGGTTCACAACATAGAGAAACCCATCATCCAAATCAGCCAAATAAGCAATCCGATCACCCGTGGGCGAGAAAGACGGAAATGACCCGTCAACTCGAAATATAGAGACATCGGGAACCGGATGCTTAATATTTTCAAGTAGAAGTATTTGATCCCCACCCGTTCCCTTCTTCCCGTTCCCCCCAATCTTACATTTATGGTACCCTACTCGGGTTCCATCGGGCGATAAAAACGGGTTAAAGTGATGGTTTTTGGGCGAAACGGGTCGGGTCACATCCTTAAACACCTTCCTCTTAAGATCAAATACCTCAATATGTCTATAATTACTTTGAGGTCTTCTAGTAGCCACAACAATAAACTCATCATTACCCGGTGAAGTACCCGGAGTGAAAGCATGCAAACCCGGTGGTGTGACCCGTTCAACCACCACCGACTCGGCCTCAACTCCGCCAACTCGTGGAAGACTCGCCTTGTAAACACTCCACCACCCATCATTCTCATCCCTCCTATGAAAAAACAACGTATGATCATCAACCCAACTTGGCCACCCGCCGTGCTCAACAACCTTGACCCGGCCCGACCCGTCTCTAGTAAAAAACACATAAATATCTGTCCCAAGCTCCTCCACCTCCCCACCCCATCCCTTCTCACCATACGACGCCACGGCCGTGTAAACCCCCGAAGGCGACATGGCAGGGCTAAAATCCGCCACCCCAACCGGTGTCAACCTTCGAGTTTCACCACTAAATATATCCATAGAATACACCGCTGCCCAACTAGTCCTAGGCACACCCGAATCCTCACGAGTCGACACGTAAACCAACTCTTTCCCAACTAAACTCGGGCTATCTTTCATTGAAACCTTCGACTTAGTTCCATCTAGTAATGGAACTCGTACTCGATCTCGATCACCCGCCTCGAGGGCGACCCTAAACCCGGGTCGAGTCCATGAATCATCAGCAACATCAACAGAGTCAAGGAAGATACTGGAAGTCCCGTTTCGTTCGGTGACGTAAACGATCTGGAAAGTAGAAGATGAAGTGGGTTGATTTAGGAGAGAGAAAATTGAGGATGAATTAATGGGGAAATGGCCATTAAAATTGACTGAAACTCCATCAGTGAGTTTGAGTTCTTGATGATTGAATGAAATTGAAGGTGGAGATTGAGTTATGCTAATTGGTAAAGTGTAGATGTCGAATTTGTACCTTGATCTTCCTAGTGTTGTAAAAATTATAGATGATTTTGGGGAAGATGATGAAATTTTGCAGAAATTGATGAGAAGTAATAATACGATGAGATTAAAAATTGGGTTATTCATATTTTGAAAATTTGAAGGTTGATAATTTGATAATCGTAGAGTTTATTGTACTGAGATAATTGATAAATTAATAACTTTAATAAAATGTTTGGGTTTTACAGAAAACAGGTGATTTTCAGGGTTTGTTTGTTTTTTTTTTTTTTTTTTTTTTTTTCCCCAAATTTATGATAGAACAGTGTAAGTATATGTGGATATCATGTTGAAATGTTGATAAGGTTGTTCTTTATTAGTGAACATTAGTATGACACTTAGAATCTTAGATAGTGATGTATCTTTTAATTTTGTATTAGTAGTACTAGAATTTTCTTGTAATGAAGATTGAGTCGAATCATTTTAACGTTAGCTTATACACACGTAGAACTGTAGGAGTACTTCGTAAAAGATATGGACTTTGAGCAATAGGGCCAAGGATGATAATAATATACGAAGTAATATCAATGGTTATATTCCCTTTGTATTCTAATGCTTGCCATTTATTTGTGTAAGATAATTCGACCTTATTTTTAGGTGTAGCAAATTGTAACTTTACTCTTGTATTTATGGAATTACTTGGCCATGTTTGGGTAGCACTATCGAATATTATTTTCCATCCAATTAAGATGTTATTGAGGCCCATTTTTTCATTTTTTCTGGCCAGTTAATTAAGGACCTGTTTACATTTACTGAATTGAGCTGAGCTGATTGGAGCTGAACTGAAATTAAGGTGAAGTGAACAGGCCCTAACTCTCCCTAACTACCTAGAACTCAATTGAGCTCCCAAACCCTAGAGATCAAAACCCCCAAATTTATTTAAACTCATAAACCCTAATCTGAATTACTAATTTTAACCCTAATTATGTTAATTGCATCCAATTAAAACTTGCAAACAAATACAGTAAACAATGAATTAAAAGATTAGCGTGAAAATTAACTAAATTACTGAAAAAGTGAAAAAGTAGGTCCGATAACGTATTAATTAACTAAATTATTGAGAAAAGTGAAAATTAACTAAATGTTGTAAGAGACTACCCTTGGTTGAAAAGTCATTATTGACTTTTATTTTCCGACCACATCACGCGCCAATTAACAAAAAAGGAAGGAAAGGTGAATTAAAAGTCACGTGATTGGCACGTGATGTGATCAACACCGGAAAATGAAAGTCAACGGTGACTTTCCGACCAATGATAGTGTCTTACAACATTTACCCTTTTATAAGGTAGTTTGTTACAACATTTCTTTTTATTAGATAGTTTCTCACAAAAAAAAGTGCTTTAGTTTTTCACAAAATATCCAATAATTTACTTACATTTAAGGAAAATAAATAAAATTGTAACCACAATCAAACATAAAACAAATTAGGTATGTGAAACTATAATTAAGAGAGAAACTTGGTTAATTGAATTTTATATAGACATCTATACATTAACGTCTTGTTAAAATAAAAAAAAGTCAAAAGTATAGATTAAAAATTAAAAAAAAATCATTAATAATTGATGACATCATACATAAATTTGGTGGGAAAAATTTAATGTGAGAATGACACGTAAGATTGTTTCATAATTGATGATGTCAGCAATGTTTTGTTTTAGTAATAGTTAATAGATTTTAGCATTTTTAAAATAAAATTCTAAAATCAGCCTAAAGTTGTCCGGTCCGGATTTTGGACCGATTTTTTCGGTATGGTCTGGATTCGGTTCTAGCTTAATCAGTCCGATCTTCAATTCTTAAAATTAAAAATTTCGGTCTTCCGTCTAGCGATGAACAATCCTAATTATTGTTATTTTTTTTATTTATTTTTTTTGGATGAAACTGAATGTTAGATTCTTATCAGATTATTGATAGTTTTATGAACTTTGAAATTATTGTATCCCAAGTTACAAGTACATACATGTCAAGGTGAAAAGTTGGATGTATAGACAATACTTATTTTATGACGTATCATACATTGATTCACAATAAATTAATAACTTGTTAGCAAAAAAAAAAAAAGTTGGTAGTTTACGAGTATGTTGCAAGTATCATAGTACGTACATGTTCTCGTTCCATGAACTAAATTCTTGCATTCCAGAATGACCCCCTTTCGATCCGGTTGAACAAGCATACTAGTATATGATTTATTCATTTATTTCCAAGCATACTAGTATATGACCTATTCATTTCATGCTACCGTTTTACATTTTCTTTTCCATATTACGAATTATATCATATTGCGTACTCACTCTATCCCATTATATTAGTCTCATACTCATTATTTGGTCTCTACTCCTCTCTTTTCTCATCAGTCCCACTTGCAATCTCATACACAAATTTTGCTTCATTTCTATTCAAATTAAACTTTACTCTATAAAACAATCATTAAAGGACGAAAAGACTATTATGTAATATTGCTATAGGTACACTCGAAACCATACATAATATAAATTGATTCTTTTCTCAACTTGAATAGGTACAAATTTGTACTTTCTAGCACTGAAAAGGTACAACAAGAAAGAGAGAATTCATAATACGGCAAATTATAAATAAAATGAGTAGAAATCTCCAATAGGATCCAATGGCCAACTGTTACGGCAACAAGTACTCCGGCATCTCTCCACGTTTCACGTGGCAAGAGTTAATTCGTCCATACCTAAGACGGCTCGATATACACACATATTTATGTTCATTGGATCACCCATTTTATTTTTTTTTTAATACTTTCTAAAATTCCATATTTCTTTTGTACGATTGTTTCTCCTACTAACTCACATGCATCGTGCATGTTATTCTTTCCCCTTAATTGCGCCTTTAACTTTGCACTTCTAACTAGATCACCTAAAATAAACTACTATACATTTTTGTAATTTATTCTTCATGCATGAATTAAGCAATATTATCATGATAATTGACACTAATTTTGGCCATTATGGACTTATAAATGGCCAATCAATAAAAATACATATTATAGAGTTTTAGAGTTATAGGTACTAATTTATAAATTCTTGATTTGATGATCTAATTGTTTACAACCTCTTTTAAATGCATGTTTTTACAACCTCTATCTTCTAAGTACATGTTGGACAATTAGATTGATATCATGACCATATAATGTTTGTATTACATGCATGAAGTTAACTTTATGGGTAGAAAGTTTTATTGATTTGAACGAATCTTACATCATTAATTAATATATACTCCCTCTGTTTCAAAGATTCTACTACTTCCGTTACATATTATTTGCAACGATTTGACATAAAGTAGAGAGAAAAAATGTCTAATCGTTGCACATAATATGTAACGGAGGTAGTACTTATTTTTTATTTTGTATGAGCTGTATTTCAAATAATTTAGCTTATTAGTTCGTTATTGCTTTTAATTTATTCCATTTTAACAAACTCTTAGCCTTATACTATATCATCATCTTACTTTATATGGAGTTCTATTTTCATTTTTTCAATCACTCTCTTCTACTATATCAACTTATTTCATACACCCACTTACCTTTACTTTGCATCTCTTAATTTATTTATCCACAATTTTATATGGACACATATCCTAAACATAATTCAAATATTGAGCCAACTAGTTATCGATGTGATAACTAGACTCACTAATCTTGCTTTTCAATCTTTAAGCACAACGCATTTTAATAATTCTTCAAATGTTTGATACCTAGTAGGGTTTGTCTCAATTATTTTATGGAGGTTATAATTAACTACTCCATTAGATTAAACAATATGAAGCAGAAAAGTAGGCTATATTCTTTCTTGCATTGTTTAAAAGGGAGACAATACTAATAAGATCCTCATTAACATTAATCAAATAATTAATTATACATCTTCACATGCTCATAAAGATTACTCGTACATAAGCAATGGCACCATACGTACTAAAGGACATAAAAGACTTAAAATAACATGATTTATCTTGATTAGTTGACTAATAATCATTCATAAGATCTACAATCAAAATTATATATATATTACACTTATGATAACACAAAAGCCACAATTATAACACTTATCCTTCTTTCCCTAAAATTTGCAAAGGGAAGATGGTTAAGTTATTTCCTCTTAACAATATTACTAAGCTCTTTATCATCTCTTTCTTAGTACTTGTTCTAGCAAAGCCAAATGCAGCAAAGAGTGTAGTAAATTTCGGGGCAAGGCCCGATGGCCGGACCGACTCAACCCAAGCCTTCCAAAAGGCATGGTCTTGGGCTTGTAGATCGACAAGGCCGGTCACACTCATTATACCACATGGAAAATTTGTGGTCCGACCCATGTTCTTCAACGGTCCATGTAGGAAACAGGTCACCTTAAGGATAAAGGGTACAATCATCGGGCCATCGGATTACCGGGTTTTGGCCCGGTCAAGTGTATGGTTAATGTTTTACAATATTAATGGTCTTGTTATTAATGGTGGTACCCTTGATGCTAGGGGTCACGACTTTTGGTCATGCAGACATCGTATAGGGTATTGTAACAATGGAGCACAGGTATAAACTTAATGCATTACTAATTTTAATTTTATAAATGGATATATAATTAATCTTCTTTGTTTGTGGTATTTTTGTTCATGATTTTAGGGAATGATATATGTTTCTATTAGACTGTCAATATATAAGTTGATAGTATCATAGTATAGCACAAGTAGTGTAACATATTATAGTTAATATGTTACATTTTGTAAAAGTATCTAATACCTCATAATTTAAAAAGTTGATGTCATGTAAGAAATTGCATTTGGTCATGCAAGGCAAAAACCTAGCATGTAAGTACTTGTATAATAAGCAAATTTATAAATATTGACGTGACAACTACGTACAAAATATAAATTTGCTTATTATACAACTATGTATTATTTAATCTCGCTATTTAAGCTATATTGTTTTTTTAATCATTATTATATTTTTTTTTTCGTCTATATCATTCTCATAATGTCTATTTTTGTGTAATTTGGAGCAGTCTATATCATTTGTATCATGCAAAAACGTAGTGTTGAATGGATTGAAGTCACTGAACAGCCAAAAGAGCCACATGAGTATAAAGAACTGCAACAAAATAAATCTCAATCACTTGACACTTAGAGCTCCGAGTGGGAGTCCTAACACTGATGGCATTAACGTTCAACACACTAATCACTTTACCATTTATGGTTCACTGATTAAGACCGGAGATGATTGTATTGCCCTAGGACCTGGCACCCAAAACGCCGTCATTAATAAAATTGCTTGTGGTCCTGGCCATGGTATTAGGTATGTTTTTTACATGTTCTTTACTCTTAGCTTTATGTACACAAAATTGACCTATTCAGTTTGTTATATTTGGTTGTCACGTCAATAATTTAAATGAAAATATTAATACTTGATAATTAATTTTGTTTGTCAAAAAAAAAAAAAATTAATTTTGAATGAAAGAAAGGCATTACTTTTCATTTGAAGGGAATAATGCAATTAATTGAATGTTTGATTAGCATATAATGTGGATCCAATGCTGCCTGATATTTTAAGTAAATAAATGTTGCAACTACTGCCTACAATTAAGGATGCCTTCTGTAATTAAATTTAATATAATGTGAAGTAATTAAGGGTGTGATTAATTGATTATCTAAGTTAACTCACTATATTTTAAGTCTAGGTCTATACTGACTCTTACAAGGTGTAGGAGTTAGAGTGTGATCTTAAGCAATAATAGTCTCTTTTTGTTTTCCCTTCATCATGGGAGGGAGAAAATAGTCTCATTTTTGTATCGAGAATCCCACATGACCATATTATTTCTAGTTGCACAACATATTTTTGTATTGGTATTGGTGCAACACAAGTTATGCTTGTTGTTGGTGCAATACAAGTTATGCAACCATCGCATAATAATCTATAAGATGTGTAGGGTACAGAAGGTTGTAAAATAAGAAAATGACTCATATAATAGTTATGGACTTATGGTATACAATCATCTCGATAGTATCACATCCTAATTCTAATATCGTTGTAAAGGTTTGTAAAAATTATGTTGCACATTTTAATCAGTACGTACAAAATATCTATATTCGGAGTTTAATTAGCTCCCCCTATCTATGCCCTACTTCACCCCTCTCCCCAAAATATATCATATTCATGTATAAGAGTTATATATTAATTATATGAATATTGATGTAAATTTAAAGTATAATTTTTTATTTTGCAGTATTGGTAGCATGGGAAACAGCCTACGAGAATCTGGAGTAGAAAATGTATTAGTGTCAAACGTAGGGTTTTGGAAGACAACAAATGGTGTAAGAATCAAGTCATGGGCTAGACCTAGCAACAGTTTTGTCCGTGGCATCACGTTTCGAAATCTCAACATGTACAATGTTTATAATCCTATCATTATTGATCAAAAATATTGTCCAAATAACCAATGCCCTCATCAGGTAATATTTTACTTCGATACTCTGTAATTCTTTCATCAAAAAATCGACTTAACTAAACGAATAATGGAAAATATGTACTCCGTACATGACAGTTAACTAAACGTAATTTGTGACATGTTTAATAACAATTGTTATAATAGAAAATAGGTTATTTTAAGGTCCGTTTTAACTCTATTTGATACATAAGTACTTATCTATTACTCCGTATCTATTATTACTAACATAGATTGTTATTTTTTTTCTTTATTGACAGAATTCCGGAGTGAAAATTAGTAATATAAAGTACATAAATGTAAAAGGTGTATCAAGAACCAAAGAAGCAATAATATTTACTTGTAGTCCAAGTAATCCATGCACAGGGATCAAGTTGAAAGATGTTAGGTTAACTTTTGGGAATAAACCAGCAATATCAAAGTGCAGCTATGCTCGTGGAAGTAGTCGAGGCAAAGTTACCCCTCGAAGTTGCTTATATTAGAACTCATTTCTTATGAGTTAATTACACATTGTTACTATAAATTAAAGAAGCTTGTTTTTAATATTTTAGCTTCTTGATTAAACTTAGCTTAATTGTATGTATAAACTTCAATGATTGATGGCTTATATATAAATGGATGTTTTATTATTACATTAGGGCCGGGCTCTGTTTGTTTTAGTTGTAAACATTTAATGGAAAACTATAATTTTTCATTGTAACGTTTTTAATTAAGGGATAGCATAATTGTAAAAATGATTTCTCTTAGTTTGTATGATTACAAGAAAACTTATGGAGGAAGAAGTATATGAGAGTGTAAAAGAGGAGATGAATGAGACTTATCTAACAATTTGTTGTAGTCTTGAGGATGATTTTCATCTAATTGTATTTGATAAATTGATAAATTTGCGATTCCACGCCACATGCATAATATTTCACCAATGAAACAATTTCACTTAAAAAAAGAGAAGCAAATCCTCCCTCAAAAGAAGAGAACAAAAATCCTGTCTTTCTAACGAAGAAAAAAAGATCCTCCTAAAGATTGAAAGAAAAACTTTGTCTTTCAAGGAAGAAAAACTCAAAAAGTTTATACATACAATTAAGCTAAGTTTAATCAATAAGCTAAAATAAGCATTATTGAGTATGTAGGCTAAAAGAATAAGCATCTAACCAAAAAAAAAAAAAATTGAATTTGTGAAAATGAAGAAGAGCCTAATTAAGGAATGACTTAGGGCATGTTCAGCAGTATTTTTTATGTAGTTTAAAGGTATTTTCACCAAGTCAAAACACTACTTAATAAAAATTTGACTGCTAGGCTTATAGGCAATGTATTGATGTTGGAATCTATCTATCTATATACTATACTAAAAGAGAAGCGGATCAATGTGGAGCTGCCAAATGTCTGTCTCTGATTCGCTTCTCTTAATATAGTAAAACAATAATATATATATATATATATATATATATATATATATATATATATATATATATATATATATATATATATATGAAGCACAAAAGATAAAGTAACTAAATTCAATTATGGTAAATAATTGAAAATAAAAATATTACTCTATTTATATCTGTATTTTGTATATGACTTAATGCATATCATCTATTCATGTTTCAGAGTATTATTAATGTATGATATTCTTCTTAATTCTTTACTAAGTAGTTGCGTTAAACGACTGTTTAAGGAATCGAGCTGAGTGTTTCTTTTTTTTTTCCTCCAAACATTATGAGATAAATAATGATCGATTAAATATATGACTTTGGATATTTTGAGATTATATGATAAATAAATGCTAATTACTTATTAATCATTTTGCAAAGAAGATGAGTTAATTGTTAGCAAAAATTGTGCCAAAAAATTATGACAAGCGAATCAATGTGGATCTTAGAGGTGTCAATTTTGAGTGTTTGAGTCGCCTTCGGCAAGGTCGGGTAATTTTGAGTGTTCGATTTATATCTTATATTTGTAGTACTATATACGAAGTATTAAATAAGAAAAATTTATGCCAAAATTTATGACAAGTGGATCAATGAGAGCTAACAAGTGTCATTTTATGACTCGCTTATCTTATATCTGTAATATTATATGTAAAAATTACATATTTATAATTTTATGCTATAATTTTTTTATTCATTCATATTTATAAGAATACATGTCATAATAATAAAATACATTACCAACATGATTGATTAGTTGATGATGAATTATGTCTTTCATTCATATAAATCTTACAAGTAATAAATACTCCGTATCTTTTATTCAAATGTTAGTTTTTAATATTGATCTACATCTATATATTTATGTTGTATATTCAATCAATTGGTTATCGTACGACTACTATGTAAAAGTTTTTGGCACAATGCTTATGAAAGTATATATGTAGGTAAGATATAAGGTTCTTATTGTGTCAATAAAGATTTAGTATTCTTCTTCAAAAAAAAAAAAAAAGATTTAGTAAATATGACGGGTAAAATAGATATTAGGTTGTACATCTATCAACGTCAGTTTTGTTCACTTTATTTTCACTTATTTCAAGCGTAATAAGTTCAATTAAGTTCAGATATATTCAATTTAGTTTTAATAAGTTTTAATAAAGGTTACCCAAGTACAAATTACAATTAGAATAAGTTTTAATAAGATGTTAAGGTCTAATAATTAAAAGAGAAAAGTTCAAATTAGGTGAATAAAACACACCCTAAACCGATTAATATGACAAGAAAATTTTAGTTTTAATTCCCTCCACAGGAGATAGAAAATAACTTTTCTTTAATAGAACAGAATAATTTATTCGGTTTTTTTTTTTTCACAAGTTATTCGTTTTTCAATTAATTAAATAACAATATAAAAAATAAAAAAGAAGTAAAACATATGAAATACAAATGACAAAGTACTATTCATATCACATTCCTTAATATTTGTATTAGCCATTATTGTTAGTGAATACTTTAATAATTAATTTGTTAATGTAAATAAGTCCATTATTACTATAGCAATTTTTGGTGCAACAAGCTAAGCCACACCATGTGGTAGGAGTTTCTCGAGTTTTTTTTTTTATTTTTTTTAATTTTTTTTAGGGGTTAATTAAGTTTTTCAGTCAGGGTTACTCGATCAGGGGTTACTTGAGTTTTTAAGTCAAGGGTTACTTGAGTTACTCGGTCAGGACTTACTTGAGTTTTTCAGTCAGGAGTTACTCGAGTTACTTGGTCAGAGGTTACTTGAGTTACTCGATTAGGGGTTACTTAAGGGGTTCGGAAAAGGGTTACTCGAGGGGTTTTCTCAGTTAAAGGTTACTTAGTCAGGGGTTACACAAGTTTCTCAATCAGGGCTTACTCGAGTTTCTCGGTTAGGCCGCATTCAAAAAATTGTGACTCGAGTAACCCCTGACCGAGAAACTCGAGTAACCCCTGGCCAAGAAACTCAAGTAACCCCGAAAACTTAAGTAACCCCTGACCGAGAAACTCAAGTAACCCCTCCCGCATGGTACTACAGGCCGCATATAAATTTTTTTGTTATTACTAGCTAATTCATATATTATTTATCAATATCGATCTATACATACATATTTGTGTTGTATATTCACTCAGTTTTAGGTTGTGCGACTGTTATGTATTTTTTTAGCACAATGCTTAGACAAAATATGTACAGGTAGATAAGATATAAGGGTACTTAGCTTGTATACTGCATAATGATAAAATTATGTCTATAGATTTGGTGATTATAATGGGTAAATAGATATTATATTGCATAACTATTAAACCGATTAATATGACGATAAAATTTTAGTTTTGAATCCCTCTATAGACTACGGGCAATAGGAAACGACTTTCCTTAGCTTGTGTAGTGCATATTTTATTCATTTTTAATCAATAAAATAGCAATATAAAAAATGAAAAGGAATAAAATAACAACAATAAAATAATTTTCATATCATATAACGTAAAAAATATATTGACCATTATTGTGGTGATTGGTGAATAGAATTTTAATAATTAATTTGTTAATGTAAATATGTCGATTTTTACTAATTGAATTATTTTTGTTTCATTTTTATGAAATTAAAATTTTGATTTTTAATACGTGCATCGCACGAGAACTATACTAGTAATATCCAGTAGTTGATGTAGCCTTCATCAAAAGCTAAACTACTAACTCCGGTTTTTATTAGTTGTAACATACGGAGTATTAATTTTTTATGTCTCACAAAAAATACCCTTTGTTACAACTAACAAAAACCGGAGACAGTATTAGCTTTTTAAAATAAAAGGTAGTTGGATTTTTTTATTCCCTCTATAGATCTAACATTGCTTGTTTGGTTGCATTGGAATTAAAATCCTATGAATTAATTTTGTTTTAGAGGAAGTAACTTTTTTCTTCTATTTCTTAGGATTTTGTTAAACATTTCTTGTTGATATAAGGGAATTTGCATATCATGTAATATACTAATATATGTAAATTTTAAATGACTAAGGGGAGTCGAGGAATTTAACTTGAACTCAAAATTCATAGCTAATTGCAATTTCTTCATTTTGCAAGTTTTATGTTATCCAAACATTAAGGATCTAAGCATTTCTTAAAATATTTTATTGCTTATGTCTAATAATTTAAGTGCAACCCATATAAGCACATAGAGGTAACAACTACTCAACCACTACCTTATCAGATGAAGTACTTAAAGGGTGTTCGGACCAAAAAGTTGGAATGGAATAGTATGAGACTAAGCATCCCAACCATATGGATTAAAAATTAAAAATTATTTTTCAAGTTAGTTCGGTTCACTACTATTAATGAGGGAAGTACGAGGGAGACCCCTTGATGAAGTGGCACGTACAAGAGGTCGCCTGGCATCATCCAGGTACTTGGTTTTTTGTGATATGAGCCTTTGATTGGGGTCCTATTTATCTTGCTATGTAAAAAAAAAAAAAAATGAGATATGGCATGGGAGGTATGGGTCAAAGACTCGGAGTGTTTATATTTGGGCCATGCATGTGGGCTTATTTCCTTTTCTGTTGGGCCTTTTATTATCCTCTTTTCAAACGGGCCAAATTAAAGATTCTCTTTGGGCCCCAAGCACCATCAATATCCGCCGATTACATACTAAACTAAATAGGTAACATACTAAACTCAATCAATGACATCACTATCTATCTATAACTTCTTTAAAAAAAAAAAAGTATCTACTCCGTATCTATAACTATTACTAAAGTTAAACCGTTGACATGCTCATTTTTTTTTTTAAATTTTTTTTTATCTTTCCAACAAATATCTATATATCTATAACTATTACTAAAGTCAAAATCACTGACATCATCTTTGTACACATGTCATTTTATAATAAAAAAAATTTCCCTCCAAAATTAATTATGACTCATCTATTTTTAATTTTTTTACCTTTCTAACAAATAAATTTAAATATGAGGAGATTATTTTTTAAATAAATAAATAAAAGTATGAGTATCAATTACTAAAAAGTAAAAATGCATTAATGAAGTTTTTTTTCCTAAAAACACTCTTTCATATGATTTGTTGCAAATTATTAATTAATTAATAATATAATATTGATAAAAGTATCTTTTAAATTCCTAAATCGTGCATCGCACGAGTACTAATCTAGTTAATTTAACAAAAATTCTACCAATGTAGGGAATATTTCAAGCGTTAATCCCCTAGCTTGAAACCCACTGTGATCATACACTAAAGTACGGTGGCGTCCAAAGGGAAAGAAGATAGAGCAAAAGAGTCTCCAACAAGTTTTAGGAACTTGTAAACCGTTCACGAGGTGAAGGTTACACCCTTTAACGATCCAAGAGATCGTCAACTCCATAAGGTCTTGAACCATATAGGGTTCAGGGATGAAGGTACAAATCCAACCTATTAGAGTTTGAACCAGCCCTAATAATAGGCCTCTACTTTATTCTGATCGTATTCATGTGCGCTTTCTGACTAACATGCAATCAATAGGATTAACCCTAAACCTGTTTATCTATGTTGGTTGAATTTAATGCACAAACAAACTATTATTGGCGATCACTTGAATTATAATCAAATTAACCCTAAACAAGATTATTGATTATCTTATTAAGCGTGATTACAAGTACAAATTCCCTTTAAACATGCATAAAAGGTGTGATCAAGCAATAACGATAAATATCAAGCAACAAAATAATAATAAATTATAATTAAAATAATCATAAAAATAATAATCATGTTAAAACATAATAATAATAGCAAGATCCTAGGCATGATACTAACAAGATTAATAACAAACCCTAGCATGTCACTAAACAATAAAAATCAAAGCTTTAACCCTAACATGATACTAACAATCATAAATATTAGGAAGAACATAAAAGGCATCATAGAAATCATAATAATAATAATAAGCATGCTTGATTTAAGGAATTTATTCTTTATCCTAAACATGATACTAGGAAGCAATAAAACATCCTAAAATGATACTAGGAATCAAAATAACAATCTAAGCATGATTTCTATATCATAATAACAATGTAAACAATTAAAGCACTTACTTGGATGTCTCATACCTCTTTCTAATAATAAAATACACACGTCAGTAACTTCAAGGAAAATAATAAACAAAACAATTAAATCAAATAATTGTAAGAGAGATTTGGGACCAAACCCTCAGAAATTAAACCTTTCACGTCTAGGGCGAAGACAACTTCGAATATGGCTAGGTGTTTCTAAATCTAATGAATGCGGAATTTTTATATTTGAGATAAGGCTAGTTTAGAAAAGAGAGAGAGAGAGAGAGAATAATCAAGAAAATCTTGATGAGAGTTGGTGAATGAAAACGGGGTTTTTAGAACGCTATTTATAGAAAAATCAGCCAAAAAGATAAAACATAAAAAACAGAGTTCTGACGCGTAAAACGGATGTTAGCGCTAGGCGCTACAGCTGGCGTTTGGCGCTGACAAAGTTTTTGACGCGTTTTCTTAAAATCAGATAGAAATTGCCGTATAGGAGGATAAAATCGTATTTTCCTCAAAAACGTTCTTTTATTCTGATTAAAACTCTAAAAAGTCAACAAAAGTCAATTTATCAATGCTAATTGAATTAGGAATGAAAAGAACCTTCTAGAAGAATCTAGAAGCCTAAAACCATTCCTAATTGCATTAGGAATGATAAATCTATATTAGGCCCTCCTCTAGATCATTGGGCCGCATATAAGGCTCAAACCGGGCCTAGTTTAGTAATTTGGTCATAACTTCCTCAATATTCATCGGAATTGGGCTTATAATATATCGTTGGAAAGCTCTTTTCAAACCCTATCCAACTACACTATTATCGGACCCATATCATGGAACAACCAAACTGGATTGACTGTTTTCTCAAAATAGGTTTTCAAAAACAGAGAGAGGAGAAAAGAAATTAAAACTATCCGCAACACTAGACTTTCCACACTTTCACTTCATTCGATTATGATTCGACGTGAAAGGTACTCATCACTGGGTTTGGTTTTGGGGAGACACAAATGGGTGTCTACACAACCAAATATATAAAAATAAAAAACTTTCTAAAAATAAAAAACTTTTCTATCTGTTACTATATATTAAAATATATAAAAAAAAAAATTCTAAAAAAAAAAAACTTTTCTATCTGTTACTCTATATTAAAGGAGGAGTGAGCTGTGGAGGAATGGTTAATCCCTTCATCTCCCCCAGGTGTGATATGGGTTCGACTCCTTATTCCCTCCTCTTGTGATAGGAGGGAGATTTCCCTATATTTTAACGTTTACTCTATATTAAAACAAAATATGTAAGGAGAATTATTATCTAATTATTTATTGAGAAGGTATTGTGTGGACAGACAACATGTTTCGTCAGTCCGGACTGACAAAATGCGGATTTTTTATGTCCTCAATTGGCGGGATGGTACGTATCCTCTATTGGCTAAATAATATCCTCTACTAATTTGATGATATCCTTTATGAGCTATATTATATCCTAGGTTGGCTGGATAATATTTCTATTTCTAGATGATATATATTCCTGAACGATATCCTCTATTGGCCGGATATATTTTCTACTAACTGGATAATATCCTTTATTGGCTATATGATATCCTTTATTTGCTGGGTGATATTTCTACTGACACAATCATAAATGATATCATATAGGTAATAGAGGATATCATTTAACCATGATATAATATACCCAATAGAAGATATCATCCAGTCAATGGAGGATATGTATAACTTGTTTGAGGATATGTATAATTTGTTTGATAATATGTATGCGGTGGAACCTACATTGAAATGCTCGTATTAAAGGTCATGAGTATAACATATGTTGCTCATTTCTCAACCAAAATACATGCATATGTTATCAAAATACTCACAATTCAACATACAATCATATTGGACAATCAATTTCAATAACTATACATCACATAAGAAAGCCCCAATTCGATTTATGGGTAATTTTTCAAAAAAAAAAAAAACCGAGAATCTCAAGCTTTCTCTCTCTTCCGCCATGGGTGACCTCGCTGCTCTACTTCGCTGTAATCACCACCAACTTGTTATCAAGTGGAAACTTGTTCTTCATCGCAAGAAGATGGCGATGATATGATAATTTCTTGAGTCTCGACTGACGAAACATTGCGTGCAACTTGCCGCATCCAATACTTTATGTTATTTATTTTTATGCACATTTTCTACCCATTTTAATTTAATTAATTAACAAACTTTACACTCCATGTGTTTCATAATTAGAAGCCTATTTTCCTTTATCATGTGAGTAATAAATGTTAGAAATAGGCTTCTAATTATGACACGGAGGGAGTATTTATTTATTTAGGTTTACTATTGACTTACATTTATATAGATATTTCTGTTAAGATAATTATGTAAATATATTATCTTAGTCAAATGTATATATACTGTTAGCCTAGAATAGTGCTAAGTAGATAGCTTTCCCTATTTTATAGCCTTAATTAATGGCTTACGTTAAGCCTTGTATTTGTATATATTCACAGTATGATGAATGGGAAAATCTCACGGAATTGATTCCTTTATGGTACCAGATTTGCCTAGGTTATTTCCGCTGCAACCTAGTCTCTCTGCCCCTTCTCTTCTTCATCCCTTTCATCTTCTTCTTCCCTGTTTCTATAGCAGCCATGTCGGACTCCAAGTTCCACCCCGCCATGACTGTTTCAAATATCAAATCCAACATTATTCCCGTCACTCTTGAAATGGAGAATGTTGAATACTCCATGTGTGCGGAGTTATTTAAATTTCACGCAAGATCACATAAGGTTCTTCATCACATCATTACTCCTAAGAAGAAGGCCCCTGCACCTTCCACGGATGAGGAGAAAGAGATGTGGACAATTTTGGATGCAACAGTGCTCGGCTGGATTTACTCTACAATCTCACGCGACCTCTTGAATACCATCATGGAACCTGACTCTACGGCAAAGGAGGCTTGGGAACATTTGCGTGACATTTTCCAAGACAATCAAAACTCCCGAGCCGTCACTCTTGAACAAGAATTTTCTAACACCAATATGGAGGATTTCCCTAATGTTTCGGCTTATTGTCAGCGGCTTAAGAGTCTCTCCGATCAGTTGAAAAATTTTGGTGCACCGGTGGATAATAATCGGCTTGTTCTTCAATTGGTTTCGGGTCTCTCGGAACCTTACAATGGTGTTGCTACCTTGATTAGGCAGAGTAATCCTCTACCTCAATTTTATCAAGATCGTTCAATGCTCACATTGGAGGAGGTTGGTTTAGCAAAGCAGGCGGTTACGGCGTCGGCTATGGTGGCGAGTGCTCCACGGAAATCATCAAATTCCGGGGGTGATTCCGGGAATTCTCGTGACAAAAATCATAAAAACCAGAAAAAATCCGGCTCCCGCAAGCAGTCTGGTGGTGGACGCGGTGGCGCAGGTGGTCAGTCCGGCGGCAGTCTCGGTCAGAGCTCCGACAGTGTCCCCGGTCAGCAGTAGCAGCAAGCTTGGATGCCTCTTCCACCATGGCAGCAAGTTCAGCAGTACAGGCAGTACCCTCCTCGGGGTTGGAGTCCTCAATGGGCAGCCCCACCTTGCCCTTATCCAACCCAAGGATGGGCTCGTCCAACAGGCCCACAGAAGCAGCAACCCGGGCTCCTTGGTCCACGACCTCAGCAAGCGTATGCAGCTTCCCATCAGTCCAATTCCTATGCTCCGACGGACATTGACTCGACTTTCAACACTATGACTTTGCAACAACCCGATCCCTCATGGTACATGGACACCGGAGCAACTTCTCATATGATATCTTCCAACGGTAATCTCTCGTCTTATTTTAATTTGAGCAATCATCATAATGGTATTATTGTTGGTAGTGGTCAAACAATTCCAATTCGTGGTTGTGGTCATACTACTTTACCTTCCCCGAACCCTCCATTGTCCCTTTCAAATGTTCTTCATGCACCCAAACTGATAAAGAATCTAATTTCTGTTCGAAATTTACGACTGATAACTGTGTGTCTGTTGAGTTTGACCCGTATGGTTTTTCTGTGAAGGATTATCGGACGGGGATGCCAATAATGAGATGTGATATCCAAGGGGACCTTTATCCACTCACTAGCACTTTTTCAAAGTCTTCTTCATCCACCTTTACAGCTTTAGCTTCTTCTGTTTGGCATGATCGTTTGGGACATCCGGGTTCTTCTATTTTAAAGTCTCTTTGTAGGAATAAAAACATTGAATGTACTCACTCTTCTAGCTCTAGTGTTTGTCATTCATGTGTACTTAGAAAACATGTTAAGTTGCCTTTTATGTCTTCAATTTATAATACTATTATGCCTTTTGATATTGTTCATAGTGATCTTTGGACATCTCCGGTTTTGAGTTCTTTGGTCATCGTTATTATATGCTTGTGTTGGATGATTATTCTAAGTTTTTGTGGACTTTCCCTTTAGCCAAAAAGTCGGATGTGTTTGACAAAATCTTAGTTTTTCAAGCATTTATAAAAACCCAATTTGAACGACCTATAAAAACTTTTCAATGTGATAATGGGAGGAAATATGATAATGGACCATTTTGGGCATTGTGTGAGTCTAATGGTATGTCTTTCCGTCTATCATGTCCACATACATCATCACAAAATGGAAAGGCCGAGAGAAAAATTAGATCATTGAATAATATTATTCGAACTCTTCTTGCTCATGCATCTTTACCACCATCTTTTTGGCATCATGCTTTGCAAATGGCAACTTACCTTCATAATATTCTTCCGAGTAAATTACTAGAGTACACGTCTCCTCTCCAAGTCCTCTATCAAAAGGCACCATCTTACTCTCACTTAGGTGTTTTTGGATGTTTATGTTACCCCTTAATTCCATCGACTACCATTAATAAATTACAACCTTGTTCTACACCTTGTGTATTTTTGGGTTATCCACCGAATCATAGGGGTTACAAGTGCTATAATTTATCTTCTAATAAAATCATCATTAGCCGCCATGTTCTGTTTGATGAGAGTGTTTTTCCTTTTGCTAATTTGTATACTCCCCCTTCCCATGCTTATGATTTCTTGGATGAGGGACTTAGCCCATATGTCATGCACCATCTTCCTTTATCCGGGCCTTCCACATTAGCCCAAGATATCTCTCCCTCTTCTCCTCATACAGGGCTGCCGCATACCACTACTTCCAGCAGCCCAGTTCGTCTCACAAGCCCACCCGTGCTTTCTCCTTCTCCTAGCACGCTGCCAACTGATGGGCAGAATAGGTCTCGGCTTGACCGTGGGCCTGTTCAATCAGCCACGGCCCAGACAAGTCCTACCCACGCAGTTGGGCCAGCTGCTGGTCCTTCCTCCCAGCCCAGTCATACTCCCTTGCTTCCACATTCACGCCCATAGCCCCCTCCATCTACTATAGTGACACGAAGTAGACTTGGTATAGTTAAGCCTAATCCAAAATATAAGAATCTTAGTGCTATAACTACTAATGTTACGAAATCCCCTTTACCTCGTAACCCCATTTCTGCTCTTCGTGACCCGAATTGGAAATTGGCCATGGATGATGAATTTAATGCTCTTATTAAAAATAAGACGTGGGAGTTGGTGCCCCGTCCGCCTGATGTGAATGTTATTCGTTCTATGTGGATTTTTACTCATAAGGTGAAATATGACGGTTCTTTTGAGAGGCATAAAGCCCGTCTTGTAGGTGATGGCAAAACACAATAGGTTGGCATTGATTGTGGGGAAAATTTTAGTCCGGTGGTCAAACCGGCTACCATCCGCACTGTGCTTAGCTTGGCATTATCCAAAGCTTGGCAAATTCATCAGCTTGATGTTAAGAATGCTTTTCTACACGGTGAGCTTAATGAGACAGTCTATATGCATCAACCTCTTGGTTTCCGTGATCAGACCCATCCTGATTATGTATGTTTGCTACAGAAATCGTTATATGGTCTTAAGCAGGCACCCAGAGCTTGGTATAAGCGTTTTGCTGATTTTGTTGCTTCTATTGGTTTTACTAATAGTAGGAGTGACAATTCTCTATTTATTTATCATGATGGCTCGAATGTGGCTTACTTATTACTTTATGTTGATGACATTATTCTCACCACTTCTTCTGATGCTCTAAGGCGTTCTATTATGTCCCGTCTTAGTGCAGAATTTGCTATGAAGGACTTGGGTCCTTTAAATTATTTTCTTGGCATTGCTGTGACAAGGCATAAGGGTGGTTTATTTTTGTCACAACAGAAATTGCTGAGAAGATTATTGAAAGAGCAGGAATGAGTTCTTGCAAGTCTTCGGCTACTCCGGTTGAAGCAAAGCCGAAAGTTGGTGCTTCGGGTTCCCCTTTTTCAGATCCGACCTTGTATCGTAGCCTTGCTGGGGTGCTGCAATATCTTACTTTTACGAGGCCAGATATCTCTTATGCCGTGCAACAGGTATGCTTACACATGCATGATCCGAAAGATACTCATATGGCTGATCTGAAGCGGATAATTCGATACATACAAGGTACACTTGAGCTTGGTTAATTTGCATCTTTATCCATCATCTACCTCTACACTTATATCCTATATTGATGCTGATTGGGGTGGTTGTCCCGACACAAGACGTTCAACGTCCGGATATTGTGTATTTTTGGGTGATAACTTGTTATCTTGGTCCTCAAAACGCCAACCTACTCTTTCCAAGTCTAGTGCAGAGGCAGAGTACAGGGGGGTGGCCAATGTGGTTTCTGAGTCATGTTGGCTTCGTAATTTATTATTGGAGCTACATCGTCCGATTAAAAAGGCAACCTTGGTATATTGTGATAATGTGAGTGCTATTTACCTTTCGGGTAATCCGGTACAACATCAACGTACCAAGCATATTGAGATGGACATACTTTTTGTTCATGAGAAGGTGGCAAGGGGTGAAGTCCGAGTCCTCCATGTTCCTTCTAGACATCAAATTGCGGACATCTTTATGAAAGGACTACCACGTGTTTTATTTGAAGATTTTAGAGATAGTCTATGCGTCCGTCCTCCTCCCGCTTTGACTACGGGGGTGTGTTAAGATAATTATCTAAATATATTATCTTAGTCAAATGTATATATTCTGTTAGCCTAGAATAGTGCTAAGTAGATAGCTTTCCCTATTTTATAGCCTTAATTAATGGCTTAGGTTAAGCCTTGTATTTGTATATATTCACAGTATGATGAATGGGAAAATCTCACGGAATTGATTCCTTTAATTTCTATATTTCAATTACTTTTCCGTATAAATTTTAAATTCGAGTATGGCTTAGACATTATCTAGTTATCTCTATGGGCCTGTTCACATTTACTTAATTTCATTTCAGTTCAGCTCCAATCAGTTCAGTTCAGTTTAATTAAGCTCCAATCAGTTCAGTTCAGTTCAGCTCCTAATTTCCCACTCTCATAAAATATTCATTTCAGCTCAGTTCAGTTCAGTTCAGTTCAGCTCCAATCAGTTCAGTTCACTTCAGCTCCAATCAGTTCAGTAAATATGAACAGACCCTAAGTTTGAGATCACGAGTCATTAATTCGTTCAATTCTCACATTTGGCTTTTTCAAAATAAGAGGTAAGGTGGCAATCGAGTGGATGCGATACAATAAAATCGATAAAATTATCACCTAGACCTTTAATTTAATATCTATATTCTATATCTGAAATTGTTGAATACAAATGGTACAATAATTAGTGATAACAATATAAAACGGCGAAACGCCAAACATCTTCGCGCATCACATTGCGACATTTGCGAGATTTAACTTATGGTTTACCTTAGAGGCTTTGACGGCTTAATAATACACATGTTTTTATGTCTTACTTGGATTTCTAAAATTCAACTAATAAGTACTATTTGTACTTCTTATTATGACCTGTACTTGTTCTCAATTATCACATGACAATATTCACTTATTACTTTCCCTTAAATGCGGCTTTAAGTGCGAAGCCAGCTTCGTTCTACGTTTAATTTGCCGAGTACAATTTCTATATGAATAACAAAATAATTTTTTCTTTAAAATGAAGCTAAAATCATTATAAATTTAAATAGGGATAAGATGCAAGATCTACGTACATTCATACGTGAGATTTGTTTATACATACATCACATCTTTAAAGTTATAACTTGTCATAATTATTGTAGTCATATACTTGTATAGTTTTAAGCTATCTATTAAACATGGTCCAAGTAAATAAAATGCATTAGATAGAGCAAATAAATCTTATTAACCAAGGTTAAAATTATGTTGTTTGATTAATATTTTTCATATGGATCACGCATTGATGCACAAGCTACATATTTTTTGGACAATACATGCGTCAACAATCACATACAACAAATCCCCTCATAAGGAGGCCAGGGGGTACTAATTCTTTCCCTTTTTCTTACCTTCAAAAAATAAAAAATAAAAATTCATGTAGAATGAATATATGTTATCAACTTATCATTAACTAACATGTCTTTCGAATGAATTTAACACATTATGTTTGGGTCTATTTCTAAAAATTCTTAACATTATAACCACAATGTTACATTATGCACCTACTCAACACATAAACAATCTCTCTTCTTTTTCTTAAAATTTGTACAAGTACATATAGTGATTAGTTAATGTTAAAGATCAAATCGAAACAAAGGTAGTATTTGTAACGTCTATCTATATAATTATGCCTTTCTCATGTTTTTTAAGTAGAGGTGTTAATTTGAATACATGGATTGAGTTCAGCTAGTGAGGTCGAGTTAGTTATTGATACGTATATTTTTAAGTACCTAGATTGAAGTTATGAAGTGGCGGTTCCCAATTACTGGTTTAAATGAGCTACAAATGAGTTTAAAAACACAAAATTCTTCACCAAGTAACTTATTAACGACAAATCAACAATAAGGACATACAGACATTATTAAGTACAAGGATTAAAATGCATAAAATCAATAAATACGTGAAAATATTCCTAGCTTATATTGTAGACTTCAAAGATTACAAGTTGAGGATACGATTGTAGGTCATAATTGGCTCATTACCCAAATTAATGACTATACATTGATTATAAATTAAATTATGCTATTGCATTATTGTTTCTTAGGAACTCTACAAGATTCTCATGAATAATCACTAAGTATACATCTTCACATGCTTAGTACGTATTTGATAACGTAATTTACTAACATGCATGATCTAGCTAGATTAGTTGACTTACAATCATTTATAATAAGATTTACACGTACTTTACATCCACAAATTCATTATATATAAGTCAAGTTACTTATCAATTTATCATAGCAAAATTAAACAAGAGCCTCAAACTTAAACATCTTCCTCTCAAACATAATTGTTAAGGGAAGATGGTTAAGGTTTATTTTTTTGTTATTTCTCTCTTTTTACTTGTTCTTGTAAAGCCAAATGAAGCATATAGTGTGGTGGCTTTTGGGGCAAGGGGTGACGGCCGGACCGACTCAACCCAAGCCTTCCAAAAGGCGTGGGCTTGGGCATGTGGATCGGTTAAGCGTGTTATACTTGATGTGCCCTCGGGTAGATTTGTGGTCCGACCTATGTCCTTTAACGGACCGTGTAGAAATCATGTAACCTTAAGGATGAGAGGTACAATAATTGGCCCATCGGATTACCGTGTGTTGGCACGTTCAAATGTGTGGCTTATGTTTTACAATATTTATGGGCTAACTATTAATGGTGGTACCATTGATGCCGGGGGTCATTCTTTTTGGTCATGTAGGAAACATAATGGATATTGTTACAATGGAGCTCAGGTATACACTTCAATTCCTTCTTTGTTCATAGTTTCATAGTTATATAGCATGTCATTCATGTGTTGGCGCGTACATTTCACACACTAATGCTTCGCGCATTCAGTATGTACTATGACAAGTAATAGTTAGCTAACAGTTAGCCATTTAGTCTTATCACTTGCTCATTTATGTTTTTGTAAATTTGTAGCCAGCATTTTTATGACTAATCAATCTCAAATTTCTCATAGTTACATTTTGTTTTTTTGTTTGGGGCAGTCCATATCGTTTGTATCATGTGGTGGCATAGTGGTACGTGGGCTAAAATCAATTAACAGCCAAAAGAGTCACATGAGCATAAAGAATTGCAATAATATGGCTATTAGTTACTTGACACTAAGAGCTCCGAGCGGCAGCCCCAACACGGATGGCATGAATATTCAAAACTCTAATCGTATTTCCGTGTACAACTCCGTAATTAAAACAGGAGATGATTGTATCGCCATTGGACCTGGAACCAAAAACATGGTCGTTAATAAAATTGCTTGCGGTCCTGGCCATGGTATAAGGTATTAACTTCTCCTTACTTTAATTTAACCCCTTTCCTCCCATCCATCATCTTATAATAAGTTTTCACGCAATTTTACTGATATTTTGTTTTATGTGCTGGTATCAAAATTAACAAGTAATAATGTATTGATATTTTAAATTAATTAACTTTTAATATGGAGTACTAAATACTCAAGGGGTCAAATAATGCATAACAAATTTAAATGGTCATATATGGAGTAATTAGCATGTATCATATATATGGATCCAATGTCTGATAATATAATATAAAAAATTTACAAGCCTTAATTCTCCTGTTAAACCTGCGACTGGAGGTGTGATTATTGACTATCCAACTAAATAGAAGTAAACTCCAGCAAAATATTAGTACGGAGTAATATTTTTGGTGTTTAAGGAATACCTGATTCATCAAGTTTAAAGCAAATAGTATTATTTAAGGTTCAATATAATCTATCGAGGTTTTATATAATTAAGGGTCTGTTCTCATTGACTGAAATGAGCTAAACTGAACTGAACTTATTAGAGCTGAATTGAATTGAATTGAAATGAATATTTTATGAGAGAAGAAAATTAGGAGCTGAACTGAACTGAACTGAAAATAATTTGATGAGAACAGGCTCTAAGTTGCTACATATTCATTCATAGTAGTACAAATGAAAGAATATTATATTGATCAACTTCTTTCACTTAAACAGTTTCTAATTTGATTACTCTTATAAATTTTTTGGTCAACTCTCAACATTTTATTATTCAGAAATTATAAGTAAGATACTTTTATGAATATATACACCTCAAGTTTTAATAATTTTTGTTTAACAAAAACAATATTTCTAAAGCGTAAAATCATTGTTTATGAAGATATATTATTTGTTAAAGTTCGAAACCTATTATCGGATTAAGACTTCAAGTACGTATCAAATATTGAACATGTTATTCATACTATGTATTTGCTTTAGTAAGAATACATATCTATATTATTATTATTATTGTTATTTTTTTTTTTGATTGGTAAGGAGAATAGCTCTACTGGGTCAGAACCCCTCACGGGTCAACCCTGCCCGGGTTAGCGGGTTAGAATCCCACTCCCCAAATTGTCACTAGTGGGAATTGAACCTCCAAATGCGTATCTAAATTATCAATAATTATTTGTATTGCAGTATTGGAAGCATGGGCAACAGCTTACATGAAGATGGTGTACAAAACATAGTTGTATCGAATGTTGTATTTTATAAGACAACATTTGGTGTTAGAATCAAATCATGGGCAAGGCCAAGCAACGGCTTTGTTCGTAACGTCATATTTCGCAACATCATCATGGAAAATGTCTATTATCCCATTCTCATTGATCAAATGTACTGCCCTAATAATCAATGTCCTCGACAGGTAATTTCTTGCATCAATTAGGTATACTCTACCTCATTTTATATAACACATGCACATACATTGACTTTTTAGATCGAATTGTTACATACTATAACACCTACCATATAATCAAGGGTAGTAATTGTGTGCCTATTTGTTATGATGATATCGATGATCTAGGTTAAGTTGACTTATATATTGGGCTTAACTTAAATTTCACTCGTGACCTGTTCTATTCACCTTAAAAAAAAATATTAAGTAAAAATAATTTCAGTTCAGTAAAATTAATTTAAGTTTAGTAAAAATAATTTCAGTTCAGTAAAATAAGTCCAGTTCAGTAAAAATAAGTTTTCTTAAAGAAGAATTATAATAGAAAATCAGTAAAAATAATTTCAGTTCAGCAAAAAAAATTTCAGTTCAGTAAAATAAATTTAAGTTCAGTAAAAATAATTTAAGTTCAGCAAAAATAATTTCAATTCAGTAAAAATAATTTCAATTCAGCAAAATTAAGGTGAAGAGAACAGGGCCTGAATTCAATAAAATAAAATGATCCATAGATCAAGGTATATACGCGGATCTATCTTTTGCTCACATGTACTTTTATTTATTTGTACATGGCAGAATTCAGGAGTGAAGATAAATAATGTGAGTTACATAAACATAAAGGGTACATCGCTACGCAAAGAAGCAATACAATTTACTTGTAGTCCAACTAATCCATGTAAAGGGATCAAACTGCAAGATATCAGGTTAACCTTTGGGAGTAAACCAGCAGTTTCAACTTGCAGCTATGCTCGCGGGATTACTCAAGGAAAAGTTTCCCCTCGAAGTTGTTTTTAGACTTCATTTCTTCCATTGTTCGGTTGTAATATTACACTCTCTCACATTGTCCTCTACACTGTCATGGCTAATATGTCGAGCACAAGTAGAGGGATCATCATTCGATACTTGAAGGATTATTAAGCAATTAAGCCTTTCGGTTCAACTTGTACACTTCAAAGAATGAGGGTTTACAACTCGTTTGTTGATTTACTTTCATGTAAACAAAAAACGAATTGAAATAGCCTGACATTGTGGTGTATTATTATATCTTGATGATATTACTTGTATCATTATTCATGCTTTAAACTTTTGATGTAATGATGTTTGTTGTGTTGTATTTTAAATGTGTACTTCAATCGAAAGTCTTAATAAAGTTTCATTCCTTTAGAAAAATGATTATTGATTGACCATGAGATTTCATAACCTTCATACACATTGTGATAAATTTCTAACTGGTCACTCTCACATTAACAACTCGATCTATAAAGACTTTACACGTCTACTATAGTAATTGATTTATGATAAAAACTCCTAATATGTGATTACGAGAATTAAAGGACCGAGATCACATATAATTCATCCCTAATATTATATCCCGATCCAAAACAAAAACGTTTAGCACTAATAATCATACTCTCATAAAAAATGAATGAGAATTCTTGGCAAAATCCAAGGTTAGCTTAGTCACAAGTAAATAGTGAACTAGGGGTGTCCGTTTGGTTTTCGGTTTGGATTTAGTCCAAATCCGATCCAATCCGAACTATAATTCGATTTTCAATTTTCCGATCCGATCCGATCCGAATTTCTCTCCCAGTCCAATCCGAATTAAAATTCGGTTATTTGGATCCGATCCGAAAATCGGAATTATAAGACATTATTTTTTAGCGCCTAATACGATTATAAAAATAAAGCTATAATGCAAATAAAAGTCTTCAAAATTCATGATTAAAATAAGTAGTTCAACATCAAGTCATTAGTTAATTAATACAAAGTCTCCCTAATTTATTTTATGTCATAGCAAGTATTTGAGCTAAATTTCAAAAAACAAAGAAATCATTATTTATACAAGCTTAATTTTACAATTCGGTTTTCGATTTGGATTGGATCCAATTAGGTTCAATCCGATCCAATCCAAAAATCCGAATTTTAAAAAAATCTCAATCCGATTTAAAGTTTGGATCCGATCCGAATTGATAATTCGGTTTGGATTGGATTTCGGTTTTAATCCGAATTATGGACACCCCTATAGTGAACCGAAAAAAAATATTGTCTACACTTTTAATCGCAATGTGCTGCATGATGAGCTTATGCTGACGAACCATTAACCAATGTACAATAAAAACAGGTTGTACTTGCAGCTCAATTGGACAACCAATCGCTTTGCTTGATACGATCAGAGGCGCTTTCACTCACAGCATAATGAATGTACAACCTGATAACGATGAGTGGTACATAGAATATGATGTCGTAGAGCCAAATGACACCAGCCCAACCCCATCCGATCCCTTGGATTATGCTCCAATCGGCATAAACAGCAATGACAGTTGCAAGCTGCCGAGAATGAGAAGCGAGTTAAGCTTTTTTGTTCAAGCACAAATAATGAAACACAATGCAAATAACTTGTCATAATCAGGAAAATTAATGTAGTGATTACCAGTTTAACACATAGACACATCAGAAGAAAGCAAGTGTCAACAACCGGATTTGACCATCTTCGCGATTGAGTCACAAGTACTAGGCCATGAATACTGATGCTAACTTGAAGGTATATTGCAGATGCAAGCTTTCTATAGTCACTGCTATGAGCTGCTTCCATGAGGCTTGTCACTCCAAAAACACGCTACCAAAATCAAGAAAGCGAAAAGACATGTATTACTTCATCTGCTTCTAAATAATATGCTACATTTCTATTTAAGACCGTTCAAAAAAAAAAAAAAAAAAAAAAAAAAAACAGAACAAAATGATCTTTGTACCTGAAAGAAATCCTTCTCGAATGCTATCCAGAAAAAAAAGATGGTCATGAAAGCCAAATAAACACCTAGAGCTACTCCAGCTTTAACTATCTTAGGTAGTCCCCAATGATCAGGCACCATAAGAGAATGTCTAGTCCTATACGTTCCATAGGTACAGCTTAAAACTGCAATAATGCATTGATCTCTGTTACATACAAGAGTTCGATCTTTCAAAATCGAAAGCATCACTATAGATACATCTCAGTAGATAGGTCCAGACCAAGGCCTCGTTGTGCCTATAAATAATTATTATCGATAAACATGTAAGCACAGGTTACAGGAGACACACCTTCATTGAAGACAACAATTTGTAGCATCATTATGGGTGGGAAATTAAATTTCCATATGAAAGCCAGCAGCATGAAACCAAGCTGTAACACGATAACATGAGGAAAAAGAGTTAAGTGGAGTCAATTGAAACTTTTATCAGGTTTGATGTTTTGAAGTTGAAGGATTAGTTACTTACAGTGGTGTAGACAGTGATTGAAACGATGTGAATCTGTAAACAGAAGGAAATTTTTTTTTAAAAAAAAAAAATTAGATGTGATGAATGAGTCATGTATTGACAAAATCATGTATTAGACCATGTTCTTTTCATTTGATTTTCACAAAGGTATTTTGTTGATCGACTATTGTAATTGTTATAAGTTGATATTGATTTTTATTGATAATATGGAAGAGGACATAGCCTATGTAAGATAGTAGACTGGAATCGTAATGTGTTAGACAAATGAGACATCGGAAAATATATGATGTCTAACATAATGGTAAATAGCTTACGCAGTAATCTTTAATTTTCTGTGAGATCTGTCGGCATATTAGCACAGCTCTGATGATGACATTAAGACCAGGTTCTGTGAGGACAAGATCTGAAGCTTTACGAGCTGCATCCGTTGCATCTGCCACGGCTATGCCAATATCAGCCTTCTTAAGGGCAGGGACATCAGTAACAACACTACCTGTTACTCCACATACGCGTTTTCTAACTTGCAATTGTTTGATAATTTCATACTTTGCCCCTGAAGCAAAATAGACACCAAGATTCATCAGAGAAACAAATAGGTAAACATATCTACATAAGAGACAGTATGTATGAATATACCTGATGTAATATCTGTGAATCCGTCAGCTTTTTCAATCAGATCATGAAATAAAGAGGCAGAAATTGTCTTGTCCTTGCTTTCCATAAGCAAAGATGACACAGGATACATATTGGTTCCCATACCCAAATGACGACCACCTTCCTTTGCCATTGCTAGTTGGTCACCTGAAATACAAAAACATATCAGGAAGTATCAGATTCAGAACACTAACCAGTAGTACAGAGGAGCGCGATTACTACCACAATCTGAATACAGCTAACCTGTTAGCATTTTGACACTAATACCAAGATCAAAAGCCTTTTTTATTGCGTCAGCACTGTCACACCTAGGAGTTCCGAAAAGTGGAATGATACCAATCAATGTCCAGGCATCATCAGAACAAATTTCCGTCCCATCAGTAACTTCCTGTATGAATTTCATGGACATCAACCAAACTGCTGTCACAAGTCTCAACAGAAGAACAAGGCCTGATTATTACCCGATATAATACAGCTTGCAAATGCCACCCTCGCTGTGTGAACTTGTCAATCACTGCATGAACTCTTATCTCTATATCTTTCTTGTTACATGCCAGATTTAACGCCTAAGAGCCAATTGAGAGCATTAAACAAGATGAGAATATGAAAGACATTATTACCACTAGGTCGCGAAGCAGTACCTGCTGAGGAGCACCTATGCAAACTCTGTGAATTTTTCCATCAACATCTGAGTAAGTTACTGCTCTGAGTTCATCAGTCGGAGTTTGGTCAAATGAGAAGCGAGTTCCTTTCTGAATGCGAGCCAAAGCCTGAATGGAAAAGGGATATAACATAAACTGATGTGACATAATAGCCCCTAAAAAACAAACAGAAATTTATGTCATATATCTTATGCATTATTTACCTCTTTTGAGTTGAAGAACATTTCAAGAATGGCAGCATCTATTTCATCATTGGTTTTAGTCTGACATACTTGTGCTGCCATTGCAATAACGGTATCTGCATCTACTCCCTTGTCGAAAGCCTGAGGAAGATTTACAGATTTTCAAAGCAAATCCTGGACTTTCTAATGACATTTGCAGCTACAGCATCCATCAAAACTGTAATTTACAAGAAAATAAATTATACCTCAATCATTGTCATGTCAACTGTGAGATTGTTCAGTACCAAGGTTCCTTTTGTATCACAGCAAAGTACATCCATGACAGCTATATCCTTTATCGCAGTCAATCTCATTAAGATAGCGCCCTGTAAATAGTTTTGATAAGTTAATTTCGATCTCTAGGTGACAATGATAACATGTAGTCTATTCTACCTAATTGATTCTAGACATCATGACACAATTGTTCATAGAATTATAAGCAAAGATGATTATTGAACCCTAAATAAGAAATAGAAAAGATGAAGTAGAAAGGTAGAAAAACTATCAGCAAGCACAAACCTTCAGGCCATGTAAGTTCTTGTAAATCACAAACAAAACATTGGTGTGAAGAGCAATGGGGATTCCACCAATGAGGAGAACAAGCAGATTGTCAATTCCGCGCCAAAATGCTATGTGCTGGAAAAGGTAAATGAAAACAATCTCCACCAACACCCCAACAGCAACCAAGCACAAGCATACATTCCTAATGCCAACCAAAACCTAAAAAGGAAAGAAAAAAAGCAAAATAAAGGGTTAAGAAGATAGAACAAGTAGCTATATATTTTTAGTGTCGAAATCCACTAGAACTTTTTACCTTAACCCAACATTTGACTTCATTGATGCTAAAATCCAGGCAAACATTTTTCCTAAAGAAGGTTCGAGCACCAGTAGCAATGATCACAGCTTCACATGCTCCTTGTTCACAAATACAGCCAGAGTATACTGCATCCCCTGCTCTCTTAGTTACTGGAGACGAAACTCCTGTTAAAACATACTGCAAAGCACAGGAAATCATATATTCAGCAACAATAGATGCATGAAGTAAATATATTGATAACTCACATTACAACTGACCTCATCAATTATTGCAGCATCGTCTCCTTCCAGTAGACGCGCATCAGCTGGAATGATGTCTCCAGCATTAATACTAATTACATCCCCAGGGACCAACTGTGAACTATACTCCTCACTCCACCAACCATCTCGCAGAACCTGATGAAATAATCAAAACTTTAGTAAACAGCCTCAAAATACAAGTGTATAGTCGCGACTCTCAAGTGATACTGTGATCAGATAGACCAATGCAAGCATTGAAAGCATGCATACCTTTACTTTCCTAGCTAAGGGTGCTATGACGGAGTTTTGGTGATTATAGATATCTTTCTCTGTAATATAACTCATAATTGGAGCAATTAAAAGCACAAGAAAGACCAAAACAACTACTGGCCAATGTAGGTTCTTGCCCTGCATCAATCACATAAATCTATTGAGTCGAATTGCACTAGCAGTATTTCATAGAGATACAAGTATAATTAGAAACCCGATGCTCACCCAAGCAACGGCAATGGCAATGATTGCAGCTGCCACTCGAAGACTCCACATTGAGCATAAAGTCTTCAGGAGAAAACTCTTCTGTAATGCACCAGGTTATGAACTAGCAGTGTAAGATTTACAGTATATAACCCCAAATTTGAAAACATGTATGATTATCTAAATGAAAAATGTCAGATTAATATAAAAGAATTTACGAGTGACTCATGTCTGTCTCTAATGTACTCTTCAACTTAGTTCCAAATCACAACTAGCACCACATGATGGCGGCTAATAATATGAAACGATTAGCATTTTTATTTTCTACTTGTCAAATCGTTGCAAATAATATGAAACCGCCAAGAAATCATATACAAGTACCTTTTTATGTTGATACTTATTGATGCCAAATATGGCTAATCTTTCAGTAACAGCCTCAGAAGTGAGGCCAACTCTGCTACACCCAAGTTTTTCAAAGACTTCATCAACAGGTACATTGTACTGTAACCACAAACAAAGATCAAAACAATTATACATGCTATGATGCTATATAATCAATGTTAAACCAATCAGTATAAAACCATATTGTATTCGAGATGATCAATTACCCAATCAATGCCATCCGAAACTCGAGACGTGGTCATTTTAACTCTTTATTGTTGAGTGTTTGCCAGAAACTCCAAGCAGTACAAAGCGAGTGAATTCCTCTAGTCAAAGCCTATGCATAACTAAAATCATATTATCGCTGAAACAATGCTAAACTCTAAGATGAAGGGTAATTTTTGTTAAGAGTATAATAAAAGTTTAAAAATATCATGTATTACCTCCGTTAATTATTATGTGCAACAAAGTGATATTATTTGTGAGATATAAAATATTCTTTTGTTGGACATAATAATTAACTGAGGTAGTATGTTTTTTTCAAAAAAAAAAAAAAAATCATGTATGCTTAATGGTTAATACGGCATACCTTGAAACCCTCGAACAACGGAACAACAGTTCATATAAATTAAGTCCAATTATTTGCTTATAAGCCTCCCTATTTCAGGTTACACTAAACTAACCTAATCACAAACCAATGACACAAGGAGGGTATATGATAATTTTGCTGAATTCGTTTTAAAGGGATAGAAATGACAGACCATAAACCCTAGAATTTTTTTTTTAGTAATTATCTTTTATCCTCTTAACAATTTTTATCCAATTAATTACCCCCTCCAACCCCTTAAGGGTTAAGGGGCCGTTTGGTTCGCAAAGTTGTATGTGTTTGGAATTAGGAATAGGCTTAAGGTGGTATCGAGTTAGAACTTCATATTTAAGTTTAATATCTCACTATTTTCTCCTTTTATATGAAATCTAAAGGAATGGAATGAGTCAAACCCACCTCCCCCAAGTTTTCTACCTCAAACCCATGAGAAATAATTATCTGAACTCATACCTTATACCTATATTTTGCAAACCGCCCCCTTCTTCACATTTCTTTTCACATGTAAAATATTACTAGTGATAATATTGGTAATTGTTAAAGTGTCAATAATTATCCAAGGAAAAGAAAAGATTTTGATTACGGAGTATTAATTTTAATTTTTTAACTAAAAGCACGAAGGGAAGTACCTATAAACATGAACATGAGTACATGACTATGTTTATCTTACATACTGGAAAAACTTTGTTGTTTAAATACTTTTGCCGAGGAACAATCCACCAATTATAAGGTATTTGTAGTATTATACAATCAAGCTATGAACAACAATGCAAAACGTAAATCCAATTAAAGTTTATACTACAGGAAAATGTCTAATCGTTACACATAACCTGTAACAGAGGTAATATATATAAGGTATTTGTTGTTTATTTACAAAAATGTCATTAGATAAACAAAATCATCAATATATTATATTTTCTCATAAATATGATGGCATGCATAAAAAGTTATTGTAGGAATTAGAAACCATGTTTAAAAAGTAATTGGCTAATTTACATTCGGAAACAAAATAAGGCATTGTCATGGATTAATTTTCTTGTTCTTCTTTTTTCCCCTCTCTATATTTTTGAAATCTCTCTTTAAGTTCTCGAAAAGACTTCAGTAAGTTCAGTCTATCTTCTGGCGGAATATAACGATGGCCGTAAGGTGATCAGTGGCGGACCTGGGCTTATGCCTGGTGGGTCAAGTGACTCACCAGGGCCCAAAAAAAATTTTAAGTTTTTTTTTAAAAAAAAAATAAAATAAAAAATTCTAACGTTTGAGTTAGCCCTAGCCCACTTCGCCAGTTCGCCTCTTCCTCTTCGCAAGTTCGCATCTTCCTCTTTGCCTCTTCCTCAGACCTCAGTTCCTCTTCACTAGTTCGCTTCATCTTCCTCTTCGCATAATTTCAGGTTAGTCATCTACTCATCTTTCGGCTTTTTTTTTTATTTATTTATTTAATTGTTGATATTACTTGTTAGTTGTTAGTTATGAATTATGATTTAGTAATACTAAATTTGAACCCTAAATCCCTAATTGTTCAATAATCAACTCAATTTCAGAGAATTTTGCATTATCTGAATTGTGAATTTGTGAAATGTTTGAACCCTAAATCCCTAATTGTGAATTTGTGAAATGTAAAATGTTAGTTATCAACTCAATCCCTAATTGACTAATTGTTCATAATCTACTGCTCTTCGCTAGTTTGCTCACGTCTCCAGTGCTGGCTGTGCTGCTGGCCTGCTGGCTGCTGCTCGCCTAGTCGCCTGCTCCAGCCTCCAGTGCTCTGTGCAGCTGTGCTCTGTCCTCTACTGCTCGCCTAGTCGCCTGCTCCAGTGCCTAGTCGCTGACTTGCTGTCTTGCTGAGTGTTGGGCATGGCAGTGCTGCTCCGCCTGCTCCGCTGCTCGCCTCAATCATTCAGCGCCTGCCGCCTCCGCCTAGCAAGGTAGGTAATCATCAATTGATTCTTTTTTTTTTGTGAATTTTTGATCAAATTTGCATTACTTGTCTCTTAAAATTAGTATATACGGTGAATGTTCATTGAATTTGCATTATTTGTGTAAATTGTGTTTTGACTGTTAAATTGAACTTATTAGTTTATCTGTTTATGTCATTATGTGAAATTGTGAATATGTGATGTCGGAAATTGTATAAGACAGCAATTAAACTATTAGTGTAAGGAGGATTATAAATTTATAATTAGATTACAGTTTAGACTGGTTAGTGCTTAGTGGTGCTAGTCGCATATTCGGCTGGAAGTTCCGTATAGACTAGTGGAGATATTAGTTTGTTGATTTTAGTCTTGTCAATTTTAAGCTTTTTAATTATTAGTTAGTATTGTAATCTTGTCAATTTTCTATTTGGATGATCTTTGTAAATAATTTTTCTGGGGAATATTGTTTGATTTAGTTGAATATTGCTTGATTTAGTTGAATATGAACCGTCCAACCAATTATGAATAGGGGTAATTCGCTGTTGGGGTTATTTGCATATGATTCATACTTGTGATTTCATTTGTTTTGTTAACTTTGTGTTTGATTAGGTTGTTGAATTTATATGCAGGGAAGACTCAGCTTATCAATCATTTTCTAATCAACAAGAGTTGGTATATTGTTAATTTGCCTGGATATGGGTGAGTCTCTGTAATTTTGGTTTTAATTTGGGCAATTTCTGTAATTCTTGAGTCTATTTCATGCTGGGAATATTGTATACTTGTATTGTGAATCAATTGTTATTCGTGTTTATTCCTGATCATATGCTTGAATCATATTGAAGTGCCAAAAAAGGATTGCTTTTACGCCTTGAGGCATTGCTTCAAAATTATTGATCATCCTGTAAAACATGTTGCGGACTGATATGTATTTAGGCTACATCCCCGCTGTAGTTAATTTGGTCTCCAATCGTGTTGTTTATTTTCAAGTTTAGGAAGTAAATGTCTCCTTACATATCATTGTGAAATTTTTTTTTACATATTTGATTATCGATTGTGACTCACCAGTCGGAAATTCCTGAGTCCGCCACTGAAGGTGATGGTGGTACGAAATAAAGCTACACAACAAAAGTACAACATTAATCAGATCAAAAACTAATGATAAAAGGATTTTTAAAAAAATAATCCCATTAAAAAAAATAATACTACCTCCCGTTACATATTATTTGGGACGATTTGACAAAAAATACAGAGGAAAAATATCTAATCGTTACATAAAATAAAATAAAATAAAATAAAAACACACACAATTCAATTATAACACCACATAAAATCCTACAAAATTAATTTCACCGCCACTAAGCCATAATTGAGGCATGTCAATTTTATTGGTTTGAAAAATTGAAAAAAAAAAACTATCCTTTACAGCTCCACCACCGGCGCCACCTTGCCTCAGCCGCCGGAACCCCTCTCCCCCATCAAAACCGGCGAAACCAACCAGCAACATCGTCGCCGAACTCCTATCCCAGCAACCAAACGTTGTAAATTGAATAATAATAAATTAATAATACAATACTTACCCACCATAAAAAATAACCAACGCTATAGATTCAACTACTTGGCCAAAAGTGGTTGTAGATGTCAAAAGACCCCTCATACCCTTCATCTTCCTTGTTGCCTATAAACTCAAAACTAGGCTTTTTATTTTTCTTAGAGAACAGATGCGTCTGAGATACAATATCGTATGGGATTTCCAATATTTATAGACCAGTTCTTAGTGTTTAATTTAAAACAAAAAGAAACAGGCCCTTTTAACGAGGCCCAAAAACACATGTAAACATGAGTACATTTTAAACCTACACACCCTTAGACGTGACTCTGCCTGCAACCTTTTGTAGAGTTCTCAAAAGCTGACCTGAATCGGCAATGATCTAAACCTAATATGTACTCGAACAATGGGATGAAACTAGTGACCTGTAACCCGACCTGAATCGATCCGATGTTAACCGACAACCGATTTGATCCAATACTTTGTGACCTAAACTCAAACCTGCACTCGATCTAATAGTAACCGTCAACCGATTTAATTCGACCCGACAACAATCCGAACCCGAGTTAGTACCTGTAGGAAATATTTCAAGCATTACCCCAAACTTAACCCCACTGTGATCATACACTTAATCATGGTGGCGTCCAAAGGGAAAGAAGTTAGAGAAAAAGTGTCGCCAACAAGTTTTAGGAACTTGAAAACCGTTCACAGGGTGAAAGTTATAACCCTTAACGATCTAGGGATGAGGATATGAATTCAATCGAAAAGAGAAAGAACTCGTCCTAATAATAGACCTCTACTTTATTCCTCTCGTATCTATGTTGGTTGAATATTAATGCACAAATAAATCTATTATTGGCGATCACTTGAATTATAATCAAATTAACCCTAAAAAGATTATTAATTATCTTATTAAGCATGATTACAAGTACAAATTCCCTTTAAACATGCATAAAATGTGTGATCAAGCAATATAATAAATCAATAAAAAAAACATAATAATAGCAAGATCAAGATTAATAACAAACCTTATGTTACTAAACAATAAAAATTAAAGCTTTATTCCCAACATATACTAACATGATATTAAAAAAGAAAATAAGAACCCTTTTGGCCTTTTCTAGCTTTAAAATCTATACTTATATAATTAAAAGCGTTCCTAAAACAGAATAGGTTTCACGTGTCACTTTGCCACATGTCATTATAAAAATGGTTACAACAAGACTTGAACTCAAGACCAACAAGTCTTATTATATTATAACCAGTCCCATATATATAAGGATGTTGTGAAAGTTAATCCAATCCAATTCAAATTGCTATACTCCCTTACTCTTTTGCAATAGCTTTGATTTGCTTATAAGCCTCCCTTAGCCACCATAAACCAGAGATAGAACTGATACTTTGTATATCATAAACCCTAGAATTTTCTTTAAGAAAATATCTTAATATCCTTTACAATTTTTTATCCAAAGTACTAGTGATAAACTGATAATACCTGTGATTGTTAAAATATCAATATTTATCCATGGAAAGAAATGGTTTTTTTTATTGTTAATTTTTTTTTTTAAAAAAAAAAAAAAAAACTTAACTTCAAAATAACTCCTCAAGTAGGAAAATTATTGTTGTCGATGCACAGTTAATTAATTTAAATTGTAAAAGATAATATTTTATATTCAATATATTTAAAGCTTAATATGTAAATAATCAGGGTAAGGTGTAACCTCAAAATATCCCAGCTCTAAAACATTAATTGATTAAAAGATTGGTTCATAACTTACAAATTTACAGTAAATATACTAATAAATAATAGTACCAAGGATTCGTTGCTTATGCAATACTCGTAGGTTAATTTTTAGGAAAAAAAACAAAGGCTATCTCAAGATATTTACAACTTGTGCATGCCAACTATTTTCGTAGGTAAGTCTTGGGGGCGGTACTCAAAATTTGGGACTAAATCATGTCAACATTGTTGCCCTTGATGCTCTTCTCTCGACATAATTAAAAAACATGATTAGAGCTTGATATTGAAATAGTCTGAGTCCAAGTGATGCAACCTCACGTAACCATCTTCACCTCCACTAGCAAAACTGCACAATACAGAAAAAAACTTGAGAAAAATTTCCATAGAGCTATGACACAACCTTATAAAAATAACTTCCAAGAAAGAGTAGACAGCACTACTAAATACAGATGTAACCTAGCGCAATTATTTACCTTTTACCATTAGGATTGAAGGCCAAGGCATTCATAGGCCCAAAATGTCCCTTGATACCTCCAATTTCCGCCGTGAGGATCTGCAAGCAAAATAACATAAATTAATTATGTTACTGTGAATGTTGGTTTTAAATGCATAACCATCAAGAAAACCTCTAATATAGAGCTGTTAGGTGTTTTAGTTTTTAGGTTTGCAAAAGTCTTGATACATGTTTGCTGCAAGTCTACTGAGAGGTGTCGAATACCAAATCAAAAGAAATATGATGTTCAATGCTTAAGCTGATAACATACTCATATATCATGTACTCTGGTTTATTAATAGAGCAATATGTAAAAAAGAGCAAATTATTACTGCAGGCATGAGCATGGAGTCTTACATGCTCTTTCTTTGACCAATTGGACATTTAGATGTAGGAATTGACATAAAAATGCAACACGTCTTCAGTAAGCTGAGTCACTGAGAAGTCTTTCAGCCCCCGTTTTACCCATTCATACTAATAATAACAAATGCAATCTTTCATTCACATATAATTGTGTAATTTACCTTATCAAAGAATTTAGCTTCGAACTTTCCTGCACGACTATCTGTAGTCACAGATGATGCATCAATACCACCTCCAAGCACAACCTGTAGGAAAAAACACAGTTCAAGCAATGTCTAATGCTGTAGGCTTATATAACATCTTTACAGATTGTACGGGAAAACAAAAGGCTCTGCTGCACCACATGCACATTAAAAAGGTATTCCTACATAACATCATTACCCTCAATACCTCATATATAGGTTCCCACCTCAAGCAGAATAACTGTGAGTCGGCTATAAGGAGTCATGACCCGGGCCATATACCAGTTCACAATCATTACAAATTGTACATAACTATGAGTCACTTTAATTTCTCCCATCACTATACTAGATATCAATAACAAATTAAAGCATATCATTAGGGTAGCAATAAATCAATCCTGACATCTCTCATTCATCATGCTAACTGCAGTCTAACATAACTATGGTGATACAAGTACAAAGTGAGATATATGATGATCCAGCTGAGGCTTAAGACTCATCAAGTCATCAAACATCCTGTAGTGAAAACCTTTCAAATACCAAATTTCTTGCCCTAAGGAAATATTCCATGGGAAAACTGGACCAGTGCAAATATAGACGCCACACAGCTAGTAAAACTGGCAACAACTTAGAAGAAAAAAAATGAAATGAAAATTCAAGTAACATACATGGTCCAGTAAAGGAGACATGGCAACAGCATTCACAGGTCGCTCTGTACTGTAGGATTTAAGGAGAGTTAAAGTCCTTGTGTCCCAGAGCTGAAGAAAGAAAACAAACCATGTTAGCACAAAAACAAACAAAAATCAACACAGCAACTTAATTCGTTCAAATATCATGAGATATACAACCTTTGCTTGATTATCCAGAGAGCCAGTAAGGAAATGTGACTTGTCTGCAGATAGACAAAGTGATTTAATAGCTTTCGTGTGACCATTTTTATGGTCCTTTGTAGACATCATCTCCTGGCCAGTCTGCAATTTGAAGCACTAAAAATCGAACCAACAAACATGGAAAAAGAAGCAAAAAAGAACTCAAGCATACGCAAATCATATAACAGAATTTTAAGGCGCACTGTTCTTTCATGAAGTTCCAAGACTTAAGGCTATGTGGATACAAGTATATAACAAACAGAAATGATACAATTGGTAGTGCTACTTACCACCGGATCCCAGACACGGATGATAGCGTCTTCACCACAGCTGATTATGGTTCTGTTTAAAGGCCCCCAAACAGCTCTATTGATCCTTCCAGTTGGCCCCCTAATGACAAGAACAGGCCTATCACTCTCTGCAAATCAATGTAAACAATAATGTCATCTTTGGGAGCAGATTTCAAGGGAAAAAAGTGAGAAGGGATAAAATTTAATGGATATACACACAAATACATAGACAAGTAATGTTAGCGAAAAGCAAAAGGCCTACATGTTGCTCATAAAAAAGAGTTGGTTATTATTTTCAGCTAAAAAAGTAACCTAAGCCTCATAAATAAATAAAAATGTACTTCGTATATCATAAAACAATTACCATGCTAAATGATTAGAAAATGCCCCCAAAGTATCATATGACAAGATCACACATCTCTTTAAAAAAAAGCACACATAGCATCATCACACTTATTAAGACCCTTATGGAAAAGTAATTGTTCTTAGTAGATGTTAGTGTGCAGAACCAATTAGATAGATTAAATGTACGAGTAGAAGTAAGTTTTTGAGAAGTTATCCATCTAGATCAACAGTTTATAAAGTGTGGTGATTCTAATTGTTAGGAAAAACAAAAAAAATAAAAAATAAATATGAAAGCAAAACTAATTTTAAGCATTCCAAAGCACTATTGTTAGAGTAGAAGCTACCTCCATGGCTCCATCTCTACAAACTAAGCCTTGAAACTCTAAAGGCTACAAATAAAATAACAGTTCAGAGTCTTCAAACATACAGTACACAAAACCAAAAGCTAAGCTTGCAAGTGAAAGAAATAGTCAGTTATAAATAAATATACAAAACAATAAAATAAATCCTAAGCCAGAAATGATGTAAACAATCAGGAAGTCCAGAAAAGTGAAAAACATATGCCACACTTACGTTCATCAATGTCTTCTGCAATACGATACACGTGAATTGCAGAAGTCTTTTCCAAAAATGGATCAGTGGTGATAACAGCAAATTTATCACCAGTTGAAAAATCCACCGATCTTGCAGCAGAGTCAAAATTAAAGGTATATAATTCCTCTCCGGTTTTAAGGTTCCACAGCTTTACTGTCTGATCCGCACTGGCAGTAATTAGACGGGAAGAATCCCCTAAAATAAAAGATATGATCAATAATGGGCACAAATTCACAACTGTAAACAAGTGTAGAAACTTTAAACATATTCATGATAAAATTTAACCCACTTTTAATTTGCTCAAAATTCAGTTAACAGTCCAAAGTTTAAAGTATACCAAAATAATATGAAGTTTCACAATAATCTTCAAGAGGTTTGACTGTAATAATGTCATATCTATGAAACAAAACAATTTTGTAAGATTTAAATGAAATCAAACCCAAGAAACCCTTTCTCGGCACTATTTTTAGGATGTTCAGTTCAGCTCCTATTTTCCTTCTCTTATATAATATTCAGTCAGTTCAGCTCAGTTCACCTCAACTGAGTTTAGTCAATGAGAACAAGCCCTAAGTTCAGTTCAGCTCCTAATTTCCTTTTCTTATGAAATATTCATTTCATTTCAATTCAGTTCAACTCATTTCAGTCAATGAAAAATAGCCCTTAGTCCACTTCCTTCTTCTATAGGTCTAGCTTTAACCTTTGCATCACTACAGTCAATATGACACCCCAAAAAACCTCATATACTTGTCCTCAAATGTTCATACATAATACATCTTGGAACAAACACAAAAAAACAAAAGTATAAGCCGGATTAAACCAAACTCAAGACAATTTCGAATTTACAAACACTCGAATAGCTAGTAGCAATAATACGGATTGAGTTGGTTTAGAAGTAATCATGTAACCATCTTCTAAGGTCTCTTGTAATCTACCGTTTCCATCAACCATATCCTTAGAGTAATAAGTAATTTAATAACATCCAAACCAACCTAAAACCTTAACTTCGTATCATAACAAAAATTGTCAAACATGCTCAAATTATTTGATCTTAAAATAGTGGCTGTTTTCACCAATACACAAAATATCAATAATCTCAAAAAAAAAAAAAAAAAAAAAAAAAAAAAAAAGCTTACTATGTCTTTTTGAGATGATTAGTTAAGGTAAACAAACAACTAGGAACAAAGTAGGTTTAGGTATTACGTGTAAATATTTTTTAGAATAATATGTCCGTTTACGTTATATGATATCGACCTAAAAGCATGGCACTACGTGTAAAAACTATTTTGAATAATATATCTGTTTACATTATATGATCGCGACCTAAAACCACGTGTTACAAATCTATGTTGCAAGTATTTTGAATAATATGTCCGTTTACATTATATGATATCAACCTAAAAGCACGGTATTACGTGTAAAAATTATTTTGAACAATATTTCCGTTTACATTATATGATCTCGACCTAAAAGCACGTGTTACAACTCTATATTGCAAGTAAATAAAAACGGAGAAAGTAGAATAAAGAGTAATAGAGTATTACAAGAGACGTCGCACGAATAAACGGCGCCGTTGTGACCGGAATAGGTACCGAGGCGTTCTCCATTGTCGGCGTACCAAACGGTAGGATTGTGATCCTTTGCGCATGAAAAGAGTAGGTCGCCGTCTCGATTGTACTTCAAGAATGTTAGAGGCCTTTCATGCCCCTTCATCAAAATTGGCCTCATATCTACCTAAATTTTAACACTTTAGCAGACAAATTAGACTCTTATCAACCGAATTAATCAAACATTGGTGATAAATATCGATGTAAATTGCGCAATAATATTTTAGCAACAGTTTGAATCGTTTGATTGACTACATTGACAGTTAATTATTCAAATTAAACCCTAAATTGTGAAATTGGGTTACTAAGATTACAACAAAAATCTTACCTTAGAAGATTCTTTAATGGAGGAGAGAGAAAGCTCAGAATCGGCTTCAATGGAGGAGAGAGAGAGAGAACGTACAGCGTAAAAAGAAGCTCCAAAGGGATGTAATGTTAGTACAATATGGGAGATTGGGAGGAGGTATTTAATTGTAACGGACGTAATATAAACCGTCGGATCTAAATATTATCAACCGTCAGATTGAAATAATTGAATTTATTTATGGTAATGTTATATGTAGTCCTAAAAGCATTAAATATATTTTTGAAAATTGTATAAAATTAGGAATTCAAGACAAAAATACGCGTAAATAAGTGCAATTAGTGTTTATATAATTTTTTTTATAATTTCTTAACTTTTTACGATTTTCAAGTGTAAATTTAATGCTTATATGTAGCCTTAAGGTTTATGTATAACATTTTCCTTTTTGAAAAGGTTAGATAAAAAAAAAACTCTACCTACTCTGAAACTCTGTAAGACCGTAATTCCGCATGAAACTAAGAAAACCCAAGCCCTTTTGGAGTCAATCCAACTTAGTGAATTAAAAATTTGGGAAAGTACGGATTAGGATAAGTTGTTAAGGCTATAAGTAAAAGGTAAGGATGTTAATGGGTCCGCCCCATTCTCACCCAATGGAGCGGGTATGGATCCTGGTTTAGTAAGTGGTTGGTCGAGGATAAGGATAACACTTTGTACTTGTCATATACCTATATTCATATACTTGCATTAGTTTTGAAATTACGGATTTTTAAGTAGTTTTTAGAGTAGAGAGTAAAAGAGAAAAAAAAACAGAGCGCATGTGATATGAGATAGATAGGGGGAATTTATTGACTAAAAAATGATGCATCTAAATTAATTCTTCAATAAAGTGATATATTTAATAAAAATGGATGAAGTATTAAAAAACTTACCCAAAAAAATTTATGTTTATGAAAAAACATATTAAATATAATATAGTACTTGGTAGTATGTAGTAAATATAATATTTCGTAATAGACTTAGGGTCTGTTCAATTCAACTTAATTTCAATTCAGTTCAGTTCAAATCCATTCAGTTCAGTTCAGTTTAGCTCTAATCGGTTTACCCTTATTGTACCATAAAGAAAAAACAATTATGTAGACTGAAGTATTGATTTATTTAGTGTTCTTTTTAATGTTAGAAATCATATAATACAAAATATGTGTAGCATTGTTGATAATACTCCGTAGTAAATAAAAATAAAATCAAACAGTTGACATTATAAAATTTTTATAATATTTATTTAACAATAAATTTCAGGAAAGAATGTTGTGGTTTATAAGTTACTAAAAACAATTATCAAAGTTAGTACTCCAATCCTGATATATGAATTATGAATAATGAAAAAAAAAAAGTCAAATGTGATAATTAATTTAGAATTAGAGGAAGTATTTGGTAATCTGATTTTTTTAGCTATTGTATACTATTATATGATAATTCTTGATTGTATAGTGGTTATTCTAATTTTTTTTTTTATTTTTTTATTTTGGAATAATGCAAAATTGGGTGACTATGCACCATTTTTCACTCTTTGTTACAGTATCAATTTAAAACTATATTTAAATATAAAAAATAATTTGGTCCATAACCTATTTCTTATTATTTTATCCCAAATCAAGCAACTTAATATATTATTTTTTATGACCGCATATATTCAAACTTTCTTCTTTTTAAACCCTGATGTCATATATATTTTTTTATTTCACATTTCAAAAAATTTCATTCATTAATTATATTAGGATGAAGATATATATTCATGATTTCTTTATTATAAATAATAATTATATACATTAAAAAGTAATTACTTATATATAGGAATTTATAAAAAAGATATGGTTAGATATCTTTTTTTTTTTTTGAAGACATATGGTTAGATATCTAAGTTGGTAAATATATTATTTTATGATTTTTTTTTCCTAAATTTTGGAAGAAATTTATGTAAGGTGACACGTGTTATTGCTGGTGTGTCTTTTAGTATATAGTAAGTATAGTATGATTGATTGATTGATTTTAATTTTATAAATCTTCTGAGTTTTCATTTAATACCTTTTTTTTTTAATTTGGAAAGATTCTAAATTGTGGTAACATCTAGCAAAGTTTATAGGGGTGATTTCGGTAGTTCAAAAATTGTACACCAACTTTCCACTTTCCTTCCCTTTATTTTACAAAATAGGGATACATAAAACTATAAAAGACATCATTGACATTTAAGGTTTCACATAAAATGACCAATATACCCTAATATCTATTACTCTATACTAAGGGTTCGTTCACATTTATTGTGTTAGGAAATAAGGGTGTAATTGTGTTTGACTAATGCGGAACAAGTCAATGAAATTAAGGACGAGAAAAACAATAAATTAAAGAAGATAAACAAAGAACACAAGGATTTACGTGGTTCGGTTAAAATAGACCTACATCCACGGGTGGGGGATTCGAGAGCTTCTTCACTATAATGGAGAAAGAAACAAGAGAATAATACAAGGAGTCCTAAATCTAATGGCTCAAAAAAGGTATGATCTAAATGATCAACTACAGGGTCCTTTTATAACATAAGGAAACCCTAATAAAACCCTAAGATTGTTTCCCAAGTATTACTCAAATAGCCGTCATAGAAAAGATATAATTTTAGGAAATATTCCATCAATTATCCTAGAATAACCTAACTACCAAGCTATAGCTCGGCAGCTAGCTCATGCCTGCCGCAAGTCCTCATAGGGCCGAGCTATAGCTCACTCGCATAGAGCTATAGCTCGTAGCCTCATTGCAAATTTCTAGCTTCGTCAGATTTTCGTAAAACAGTCATAACTTTCTCGTTTCTTATCGAAATTGGGCATATGACCTATCGTTGAAAAACTCTTGAACCAAGCTATCACTTCCAACTTGAATAACCTCAAAATCACTTGTAGTTTGAGAGATATCTGCGTTCAAAGTCAACCCTACTAGATTTTGAGTCACAATTTAACATATTGAATTGAGTTGAACTAAACTGATTGGAGCTGAACTGAATTGAAATTAAGTAAATGTGAATAAACCCTAATTTGGAGTTTTTTTTGGGGGGAATATCCTTTTTTTTTTTTTTTTTGAAATCAATATTTCCTCCTAAACTCTACTCTTTATTTTATTCTATGCAGAAGCATTAATTTTCCTAGATTATTCATTATATATATATATATATATATATATATATATATATATATATATATACTAGGTTAGTCTTTTGCGATGCACTGTTTTAAAAATGAATTACTTATAAGTGTGTAATTAATTTAAATATTTAAATTTTGACAGGTCTTCAGAGAATTCTCTCTCCCAAAACAAAAACCCTACCGTTTTTCTCAAAATTCCTCCGGCCATGAGGCTCGCCAGCTGGCGTGCGGCTCACCGCCCATGCCACAACGTCGGTGAGCCTCCGATCTACTTCTTTAGGGTGTTTTTTTCTTTTCTCGTTTTGGTTTTTTGTCCGGTCGGCCTTGCAACTTGCGCCGCTCCCCCTTTTCGGCCGCCTCTTTTCCTCACCGGCCTTGCAGCCGACTTGCCGCCGTCCTTCTTTTCCGCTTCCCCGTCGTGCCTCTGCTCCACCGCTTTTCCTGTCGTCGCGACGTTTTGTAGGAGAATGGGGAGGGAGAGTTATCTCCCTCCGAGTCCCTCGCATAGGGCCGTTCTCAGTCTGGTGTTTCCAGCCGTCGTTGCCGCGGTTCAGGGGTGTGTGGGGTTTGGGCTTCTCGGGCAGGTCTCGGCGGTTCGGGCTTTACAGTCCGGCGGTATGTGGGTTGGGTTGGTGAACCTCGGAGCTTTGGTGGTGGTGCTCGGATTGGCTGCGGAGTGGGTTGTTAGGGTTACGTTCGTAGTTCTTGTTTTCAAGTTTCCTTCTGATTTTTCTTTTAGTGGTGTGTGTGGTGTTTGGGTCTCTTTTTTCCGTCTTTGTGTGTGTGGTTGAGTTGGGTTTGTTATTTTTTCTTTTTGTGTGGTGTGTTGGTGTGCTATGGGGAATGCAGATCGGTGTGCCGATCTTCTGGTGCAGGATTTGAGTCGGGTTTTTTGGCTATGGGGCTTTGGTTTGATCTTTTGTTGGTTTGGGCTGAAGGGTTATGCTTCCATGCTGAAATCCGTGTTTGAATCGGAGATTGCCTTGTCAATGGTGAAGTGCACGACACTAATTTTGATTTCAGGTCGAGGAGTATAGGATTCTGGGTCAATGAAGGTTCACGTCAGAAACTACAACTTATTGCCAGACCCCCTTGCAAGAGGCTGCATAGGACAGCGTTATATGAGTCAAGGGTATTTCAGAAAGTCATTTTGCGCGTGCAATTGTAGTTTATTTTACTTCGAACTTGTAATTGGTTCTTTTGTCTTTGTATCGTTCGATTACGATTTCTTATGTAAGTGCCGTATGGCTTATTATTAATGAATTTTAATCTCCCCCTTTCAAAAAAAAAAAAAAAAATATTTTAACAAAAACATAATAAATTGTGATCATTCTCATAAGATTAATAGAGCCAAAATGAAGCATATACGTACTAATTAACTACATAGATATAATTAGCATTCGTTTTTGATATATTATAGCAAATTTGAAGAATTAATAAAGAGAAGGAAAGCCATATTCTACAATCACTAATGAAATGTAGGAGATTATTTTATGGAGGAAATAAAAGGTGGAAGCTAGAGACCAACCATCAATTATTGTTACTCCATAAAAATTTGTATAGTTGGCCAATTTAGTCATAAAAGTTTTTAGAAAAATGTATAATTTATCATTTCCGAACATTAGCTCTACTTTGAAAAGAATTTGGCGGGGATTTTTTTTTTTATAAGAAAACGACACATGGACAATGACAATATTGACGGTAATTACTTTGGTAATAGTGAAGTTATAGATAAATTATTATACAATAATTATTTTTAAGACTATTATTATTATTATTATTATTATTATTATTGACGTTATATTTTTAAAAAACTTCTAAATTTCAACTATCAATAATTTAGAAAACCGAACATAGCTCGAGAATCATCTAGTGATTGTAGGAAGATGCTTTGTAAGCGAGACTACCTCCACACTATGGTCTCATTCACTTCACCTTATTTTGTTGAATCGAATTTAACTTTAATGAACTAAAAATATTTTTGTCGAAATTTTTTATTTTTTGTTAAAAGTGATTTTCTGTTATATTTCCTTTTTAAATTTACTGATTTTTACTAAATTAAACTTAT